TTTTGTTGTCGCTGGCTTTGCTAGTGGTGTGTATTAGTAGGTTAGTAATGATAACTTCAGGGACCCCTTTAATACTTTATTTTTTTTGAATTTGCGCTTGAATAAGAAAAAAAAGAACAATGAAAACCTTAAGATTATTTCTAATCTTGTAATTTCGCTGGCAAATACTTACAAACGCAAATCTAGAAATATAAATTACTCATGCACACACTTGTGCAAACGCACTGCTATGCTTCAGGTTTATATTAAAGTCTTACATTAACTCTGTGTATTCAAATAAATGAGTGTCTCTATGGGTGTAAACCTTGTATTAATCATTAATAATTAGGATTTTTTAATGATTTCTTTATTATTATGATTTTTATTCAGGCAGCCTTTGTTTTGTTTTTTATTTGACAAAAATAAATAAATAAATAACTGACGTCAACTTCAACTGATAGTGAATACATTTATTGTTGATCAAAGTTTTTCATTTTTTTATTTATTTATTTTTTTCCCCCCCGTCCGATTTCATGTACATAAGTTTTGTAGGCATGTGTGCTTTAACTATAACAGCTGCACACAAACTGTTTATTGTCATAATACAATACTTTTTGTTTTGTTATCAATTTAAATACTATTTCCTAATAATCAGTAAATCAGTCATTCAACGCGTCAGCAACATAAAATTAAGCGTAAATAAGCGCATTCACTTACTTACAATTTCATATATGTATGCAAGTTTCACTAATAATTAATTTCGTTTGTAGTATTAAGAAGAAGATGAAGAAGAAGTGAAACAAGCAAAAGAGATTACATTCACAGATCAGGGCGAACCAAACTCAACCTCAAAAAAATATATAAAAACTGCAGATCATTATGTTAGTTTTTCATTAATGTGATCGATACTTGGCATGGATTATTATGGCAACAATTTGAATACTCATTATATGTACGTTTCGCGGAGCTCACCATCATTTCCATATTCAACACCAAACAAACCTTGCGAAGTTTTTGTAAAACGGGATTTTGGACACTATCTTCTTTTTTGCTGGATGGACATCTGTTCTGAAATGATCAACGACTATTTTCAATTTAAATTCAATTAAAATTTGGCTCGAATTTCACGAGAGCGCAACACAAAGGCGTAAAGTTCTTCTTCTTGATCAACATGAAATTCCAATTCGGCTTAACGAGGCGTTGGCCTAGCACTGTGAATGGAGAGTTCAGCGTTCAGATCAATTTTTGGTCAAATGAAATCCCTAAATCCATGAACGAGTCAACATTTTCCGATTTTTTACTTAATTCATATATAAAATGACAGTTTTACATTCTCGCTAACTTTGGAATAATTTTAAACCGAGAAAATCCCAATGTCCAATCATTAATTATTCAATTATTCAATGAAAGAGATTTCAACTAGTGTTGGTTTTATTTAACTCTAACACCGCTTGGATCAGATGAGTTATGCACATATGATAACTAACTGAGTTTAATCGGCAAATCTCAATGTCGGAAATTGCGTAAAAATAGGCAAAAGATTAATATTTAACGGTTAGAATCGTAAAAACGAAATACCAACTCTTAGGATTAAATGAATGATTGATATGAATAAATCCTGAATGAAATATATTTGTCTATTTTGTTTGTCTAAACTTTTATTTATGTCTCCCTATATTCTCGTCGCACCAATAAAAGAAATTTTTCTTTAAAATATATCCAAGTCGATCAGCCATTCTTCCTAAAGAAAACAACTTTTATTTTTCTTTTTATATTTATGAAAGCTTCCTTTGAATTTTTTATAAAGATTCTTTTAAATTTAAAGCAAAAAATATAGGTAACAATGTTAAAACTACTCTGAACTCTACTCACACTGCAATAATAGACGACCTTGCCCTACTTTGACCTATCATTTAGATTGGGCGTCCAACAATTGTTACCTGTTTGCATATTTCAAAAAATTGCTCCAGAGAAAATACTTTGAATTATATAATGAAGTGTATTTAAAGGGTCTCGACACATTTTTCTATAGAGAACGCATCGAAATGTCGGGAAAGCATTGAACTGATTTTATTACTACTAGCGAGGATTATGTCGATGAATTATCCTAAATCTCGTACAAACAAAACTTTATTTTTTACTTAGTCCTATGGCTTATTGATCGATACATCAGATAAAAAATAACGTCAGTACATTTCAATTTTTTTTTCACGTTTCGCACTTTGACGCTTAAAACGATTCAGAAATCGCACCACTTGCATTCACTTAACAAATGATGAGTATCCAAGATTCGGCGCTTACCAATTATATCTCCTTCCTCATGTCTATATTTATTTGTTTAATGATTTTTTTTCTTTTCCTTTTGCATTGCGAAATGTCCACATTTACAACCCGTAAACCTCAACCGTTCACAAAAACGTGACAATTACGTTACGTGAAAGATGAAAGAGAGTAAAAGAAGAAGAAGCAATTTATATGAAAAAGTACAAAAGTCAAGTGGATACAAACGTATATATAAATACGAATTGTACGATATCTAAGCATTATCTTTTTCAATTTCTAAGCGAAAATGTAAAAAAGATGCGAACGAACTTTCGACTGACTACAGATAAGAACGCGAATGAATAGCAAAATAATGCGTATAAGAATAGATATGGAATCATGATAAAATTGGACTAAGATACTAGAACGAAAATCTGATGCGGATGGGGATAACGATATGTTTTATATGTAAATTATAATACAATTTTGTACTCGCATTTCCATTCGCATTCGTATAATTATTTGAAATTATAAATAATAAAATTGCTTTCAAGGTCATTTCCATAGGAGATATAAAAGCACTTAATTTTTCCTATTTACAAATGATCTTACTTTTTTGGTACATGATTTAATTTATGCAATCGTTTTCCACAGACAACATACAACAGAGTTAATAAACGCAAGCATAGATACCTTTTCTATAATACAAAGTCCAAATTGCTTTGAAATATGTTTGCCAGCATAATACCACAAATGCTATTATTTGGGTCATTTTAAAATTTAAATTTTGAAATTGCAATGTATGTGCCACCAATTTTACTGATTCACTTTCTTCTTCTTTCTTTCTTTATTTATTTATTTTTTTTTTTGTGTGTGTATATGTGTTTGCTAACTTATGCATAAATATGCGGCATTGGTATTTTCCAAAGGGTTATTTTTTTCTGTCACTATTCTACTTTAGCTTTAGAAACTACATACAAATCATCATTTTTAATAATCAAATCAAGGATTATTGATACGACTGAGAACGCAGTAGTATTTTGCTTCTTTCAAATAAATTGGCGGCGATGCTAGCAATTAATTTTTCAGTTCCTAGGCTCAGTCTTTTATTAGGCAGGAGAAAGCAAAATTTTTGAAATATTTTCTTTTTGAATACTACATGAGGATCCTGTCAAATTGTAAGTCTTCTCTACATAAGCAATGCCACAACATTACTGTTAAATTTATCAGCAAAGTTCTTCCAAGTTTTTTTTTTATTTACAATAAAACATCAAAGCAAAATAGTATTGTAGCGCCTCAATTTAAATAGCAACCAGCTTATTAATCATATGAAGAGGCAAAATAAACTGAAAGAAATTAAAAAAAAGTGCTTTATCAGTTAAAAGAGAACTTAAACACATGAAATGTGCAAAGGCAATAGGCCGGCCAGTATGACAATAAAAAAAACTCAGCATGTAGTATACTTTCACTAATGTACAATGTACGTTCGAAGTATAACGAAAATTCGTAAATATTGGACAACAGCCACCAATTAGTTAATTAGCAAAGTGGAGATTATACTCTCATATCATTATAATAGATATCTGTCGATCGCTATGCGCCATAATTAATTGTGGAAAACTTGGAAGCACATTTAACATTACACTCACAATCTGTAGCATTCATTTAAACATCCACTGAAATTGCCAAGATCGTTTATCGATCAAAACAATGAATACTTTGTGGGATCTCCGATGGTGAGCATCTCTGGGCGTCGTTCAAAAAAACAAAAAATAAACATAGTAGACTATCATTTGCGTCATTTATAGCTAATTTTCTGCAATCGGAATAAATTTTTCACAGTCAGCGCAATGAGTTCTTCCGCTTTCAGAAAAAATGAAATATATATAATATATAATTACATAATATATAAATGTTTTGGTTTCGCGAATAAGTTTTGAAAGCGGGCTGTTCTTGCTGCCGCCGAAGTTAAAAGTAATAATTCATTTACACCAAGAAGTTATTTGCTGCTCGCCTCTATCCGTAAAAAAAAAAAAAACTGTCGAAAGCTTTTATAGAGAAACCACAATTACGCAATAGAAATAACTTGTGGATACGTAAACATAAACATGCGCGCATGCAGAGCAGGAGGATCAAGTTGATAAATTATTTGAACAAAACATGTGCTTTTATATACAAAGACGTACCATTGTGTAAACAAATATATGTGCTCATATGTGTGCTTTGACATAAAACTTTTGTTTGATTATATTGCGTACTATTTTTTATGACTCAATAAACGAAAGACCAGCCCCCTTTTTTGGCTTTAGATTGGAAAACATGCAAACAAACGTATCTTTTATGCCAAGATATAAATGTTCACGCATAAACTCGGACATGTATTAAATAGTTCACATAAAAAAATAGTTAAAAAATATACTGAATGTTTAACACTTTTATACATTTCTTGACGAAAAATAAACAAGGAAATCTTAATCTTAATTCAATTATCTTTTATAGTTATTAACACAATATGAACTTCAGTTTTTTCGATGCTATTAGCCATGTATTTTTGAATGTTCCCATCTTACAAGGCGATCATATTTATATTATACTTTCTTTCTACATCATAAACTTCAATAAAAAATGTCAGAAATTGCTGCATTTTTTTATAAATTTTGTCTTTTCTGTCTTACACGAAGGAAAACGTTTAAAACGAAAGTAATTTTAATTCCGTCCTATATGTGCATAAAACAAACCAAAAGTTCAATTTCACTTACCCAACGGTAGATCACATAACAGACAACATGCCGCCAAGGCTCCAGCCGACGCACCACCGATTTTTTCTAATAGCAAATGTGGTGCATATTTTTTAAAGCACACAGCTACACCAACGTGATAAATGCCCAAAAAACCGCAACCAGCAAATGATAGATTCATAATACAAATATATTTACGTTTCTTAATCTGTTTGTTAATCAATAGATATGCAAATCCTATGTATCACAAAAGTTACTGTAAAAATATATATATCACAATTTTTTTCGTTTTTATTTTCACTCTAAGGTTTGTTTACTGTAAAAATTAAAAAACAGAAAATTTGTCAAGCAATTAATATTAAAATCTACATTCAGTTTAAAAAATACAACAATAATTACACTGCAAAAGAGTGCTTGTGATGATATAAAATTTTGGATTTTGTTACTTGAAATATATCGCCTTGGAAGTGAACAATCACCTATTTTTGTATTTAAAAAATCGAAATAAAATATGTTATTAATCATTAATATCTGGATTTTGTGAAATATTTACACACATTGGGTTTTGTTACGATTTTTTAACGAGTATACCGATGTACAGTTTTATTACAATTTCACTCTTAAATCTTCTCAACTTTATTCTAGAAATATTGCGTCAATTAACAATTTTTTTTAGTTTTTTGATTCTACGCACTCACATCAATAATTAAATAAACTGTCGTTACTTGTTGTACTGTTATTCGGAACTTTATGTCTTACTTGTTCATTGCATTAGAGCAGCTATTTATAGATTTCCCTAAATAATAGTTTGTTTTTGTTCATTACAAGTCAAAACGACAAACAACGAGAGAGAGGGAGACAGATGGAGCATGCTAGAGAAAGTCAAGAAAACACACATTGTTGTTGCCACATGTTTAAATCGTATCGTGTCAGGCTGTTCAATATGTATTTTAAATCGAAAACTAGACGTAAACGGGCTGACCGGATAACTTTAAAGCACAACGATACGTTATTCCCGTATTATTATATAAAAAAATAATATAATAATGGTTTAAGAATTAAATAACAAAGTTAACATATATGTTAATAAGAAATATATGAAAACCACACATTTTTTGATTAAATAATGAATTAAAGAATGAAGAAAAATGAGTTTAGACGAAGAAGTATATTCAAAACTGAGCATAAATCGTCTTTATCGCTTGGTTTTCAGTTCTTACAAAATAATATGGAGTATCAACTGAAATTTTAAAACGCGTAACATAAAGAAGATTTAAATTAACACAAAATAAATATAAATTAGATAAATGATATCAAAATCTAAAATAAATTATCTTCACTTATTCTTCCGCTTTTTTTTCTTCTTGCTTTATTTGTGAGCATAGGTGCGTAACCGTGATTTGCCGATTTGGAAAATAGAAATAGTCACTATTGTGCTTAAGCGCAATGAAGCTTCGATTATATTCCCACAAATTAACTAAACAATTAGTCGTCACAATAAAGGTCTCGATTTCCTGCGTTAACATATCATTTTATAAGAAAAAATAGATAAATTTATGTATACGTAAACATGGTTTGAGTAGTAAAATACACGAAATCAACATACGGATTACACTAGTAACGGTAGTAAGAAAACCAACACATATCAATACCGAAGTTGTATAAATTTTGTTAATCTGGACATACAAGATAAATCTGATTGGCTTAGGGGACAAGCACAATGATGCGTTATTCCTTTTTCTGGATTAATAAGTCCAAAGTGGCAACAGACTGACAGCTTGCGCTCGCCAACGCTGCCAGAATATTTGATGAAAGAAAATGAAAATTATAAACAACGATAAAAAACTAATATAAAGGCAAATTGAATTTATGACTAATTAATGAAACGAAGAATCCAGAAATATAAGAAAGCAGCGCATGGAAGTGGGGTTACACATCCAGTTTCTTAAAATTTGTTCACAGTTTTACCAATGGTGAGCTTAGATAGGCAATGATGTCGACCATAATCTGCTCCTAATTCGCAAAAAGTAACTACTATAAAATCAACATCTTTATAGTAAGTCCTTACTATTTTAACACGTTCAGTAGCTTTTAAATAATCCATATTGTAAAGTGGCAAACGTATAATGCCCTTTATGACAATTTTGGTTTCATCTGTTACCGAAGCAGGGTTGCCAAAGCAGGCCCGCGGGATGGATCACCCTATGCATTTGCGAAATCGAACTATCAATACTTCTATATTTTAAATACCGTTGAGATTTCATTTTATTCGAATTAACTAAAATGCACAATATGTATGTATTTTCATTTTGTTTTTGTTCACAATTTACGTTATTTTAGCATTCAGTTATAATTCGTAAAATATGGCGGTGGTGGTATTGGTTGTATGCTTGATTGCTCTTCATGCTGCTGGCTTGGTTGGTGCGATTTAGTTAGTAAAAATTGTCAGTTGTTAGCACTTCTTTTGGGCGGTGGCACATACATTTGACGTTCACTTCGATATCTTTGAGAATTGCCAACATTGTTAGAACGCTGAAATGGTTGAGGCTGCACCAACTGAGGGGATGGCGCCAGTGCTACACTAGGGCCAAGATTTTGGTAGGCTATAACAGTGTGATGTTGGGCGTCAGTTAAGGGTAAACAATCTGATTTTAAGACTTCTTCGAAATTCCCGTAACCCATAAACAACACTACGCAAGTGGTGTTCGAAATATTGGTGATTTCCGCCTCATAATACTATTAAGAAAAGAAACATTACACGGTTCCTTATTCGTATATCTGAAACTAACCTTGCCATCTTCCCAATATTTCGCTAAGCATCGTTCGCCTTTCTTCCACGGCCAATTGGCTCCTGGAGTTATTTCATAAGCTACAGATGGTGGTAGCGGCGGTGGTACTATGGGTTGTGGAGGAGACGAGGCATAAGAATTAGTATTAGTATTTGCTACAAAAGATCCGGTTGAATTATTTAGGGCAATTGGTGGTTGCGATACTGACGATGGTGGCATCACATGTGGCGAATTTCTTGTCGTAGATGCTTCCTGACTCTTTAACAAGTTCATGGCATATTCATTGGCTTCTTTACTTTGAAAACCTATTATTTTACTGGGATCGTACGGGAATCCATTTGACAGTTGACCAACAAAGGCAGACGTGGCTCCTGCTGCTGGTTTCGATTTAGTCAAGAAGTTTTGAGTACTAATAAATTGCGATGTTGACTGCATCGGATTATTTGCAACATAAACGGCGGCTGATTGGGATGCTTGTTTTTGTATTGATTGTTGGTGTGCCGCTTTCGGCAATTGTTTCTGCTGTTTACCCCGGTTTTGACCTTGTGGTTGGTAATTGTCTCTTTTAGACTCTATTTTCAGTTCTGATGTAGACTCGACCAATTTTGATACCTCAGTTTCCGTATTACCAGCAGCGGCTGGTAAAATATTACTGTGGGTGCTATTATTTGTATTGGTGGTCAGACGTTTGCTGTCCGAACGATTAGGGTTGCGATCCCGATGGGATTGCTGCTTATAGTCCCCACGCTTACTGTGATAGTTTGTTGCATTGCCACGCGTTGCATAATCACTTTCCTTCCTAAAGGATTTTTCATTTCTTCGATTATTATTAAATGTGTCGCCGCTTGAACTCAAATTATTAGCTTGAGTTATTGCTGTGGAGTTTTGATAGCCCGTTTTTGTGGTATTATTCCAATAATCACGGCGACGTTCATCTTTGTAATTAGATTTTTCCTTTGTTGCGCCATTCGTGACTTGTGTTGCCCGATTTGCAGCGAAACTAGACGACATATTGTTTTCAAATTTACCTTTCTCTACGCTTTGCTGTTTGCTGTTGTTCACTTCCTTCCGTTGCTGAGATTGATTAGCAGATGTAGTTGCCATTACAGTTTCAGATGTCTAAAAATAATTTGAATGAATGTTCATTATTCAAGTATTTTGCGAAGTATATTTACTGCTGATAGTTTATTTGTAAGGAAATCGAATAGAGAAACGTTTCCTGCAGGTTTGGCAGGCGCAGACACATCTTCTTTAGCTGAATTAACCCTTCCACCACGTTGTCTCCGGCCGCTGCTAGTTTCGGACCTGTTGTGAGTTTCATTATTACCGTTTCGGGGATCCTTTTTTCTCTTGAGAGTGAATAAGGCTCGCTCTAAATTGTTATGAGTGCCTTTTAAAGCTTGCTTCGCCTCTTCCTCAGAATAACCCTTATCTAAAATTTTCTTTACATTGTGGTCTAAAATATTTTGTTGGCCACCACCAAAGACTTTCTTAACACCGGCTTTAGCTGCTTCGGCAATCGCTTCACTACGCATAGCCTGAAATTCGTCATTTTCCTTCGATTCCTTGTCCTTTTCGTTGGCAGCTTGCAGACTTTTAAAATTTCTATCTTGCGTTAGAGCCTCTTTATGGGTATCCAATCGTTTGCCAAACGCAATCCATGGCGGCGGGCCACCCGATCCGGCATTGATTCTCATACCACTGCGTGCATATTTCTGCATTTGTCGAGCCAAATCCCATTTCTCCACTAAATGTTCAACGTTTCCTCCCAAATTCTGTACTTCATCAGGTTTCAATACTAGAAAACCCTGCATTATTTGTATTTTTTCGGCTTTAAAGAACAATTTGGTACCGGGTGGCGTATTAAGATGCAAAAAGGGCAAATGTTCTAATTCAATAGCTTGCATAATTTGAATACCATCCGTAAGTTCACATTGCAGCAATCTTGGAGCAACCGTCGATTCCTCGTTAGCCTTCGGAGCAGAAACGTTACGCACTCTTTGTATTTGTAAAACAATGCGTCCGGTAATCATGCAATTGGTATCCAGTTTGTTTGGTAGAGCTCCACCACCCAGCTCCTTCAAATCCCACTTGAATTATTCAAAAACGAATAACTTATTTATTGTTTTTTTTTTAATGTATATTGTAAAATAGCTTACATCTTTTGCTTCTGTAACTAGTTTTGCAATATCTTCATTTTGCAATTCGGTGATTAATTTCTTCAAGCCCTCTTCGGTCAAGTACCTATAGAAAATTTTACTTATTATGCACGGTCCTTCTTTAGCCGAGCTTTGACTACTCACCAGCCTTGATCTTTTAATTTCTCCAATAAACTCATTATTATTGTTATTATTTTTATTTTTAATTAATAAATTTTCCAATATTACTTTGTGTAAACCGTAAAACAAAAAAAAAATACTATCCAGAAAATATTTCTTTTCAAACAGAGTTGCCATTTGTTGCGAAAGAAATAGTTTTAAAATTTTAAGTGTGAAAGAATTCAATTTATAATTTACAGATGATATGCAATACTTATTTAAATATTTATGTATGCTTGAATATTGGGCGTCTTAAAAAGATTTATGAAAAAACGCAGTAGTCAAAAAATAAACTCACAATCTACCTAATAACAATAAACCTCAAATAAATCTTCAAGTGGAAAGCGCAGCTACTGTAAACAAAGTTCGAATCATGCAGAATGGAATCGTTATAAAGTCCAACTGATGTCATTCACAGTGTTATGAAATTAAGCAATAGACATCCAGATAAAAGGATTGCACAATAATTTCAGAAATGCTCAATTTTATATTATCATAAACATTGCTTTCCTTTGCTTTGTAAAATCATTATCAAGACAAAGCGAAGAAAATTTCAAAAAATTTTATTCAAAAGAAATTAAATGACAAGCTATTTTAATTCTTATTTACAATGGGCGATTTATCATGTATCTTGAACATCCATCAGCATCCAAATATAGTAAGTATATATATATATATATAATTTAAGAAAAATTGTTTTTACAAGATTTAGTCATTATAAAAAAGCGCTAATATCTAGATCTAGGATTTTCCTTTTTTTTAATTTTATAAAATTATGCCCTCATTTAGATGTCTAAATGCTCCGCATTTATTATATAAATACCCGAGTTTTATCTACGAGAAACCTTTAAATCTCTAAAATAATCCACATATTGATTTAATAAAATAAATTGCCTATACATAGTGATGATTGCATTTTTTTTTCAAATATGGCAATAATATCACATGCCAAAGCATTCCGTGATGCTACTAATTTTGGACTTTTGATTAATAGAAAACTGGTAACTGATATTCATAGTATTTGGCTTTCATAGCTAACATTGCTTATTAATTGATTTTGTAGACTATTTAATTGAAATGGATTTCCAAAACCGCGCAGGCGGTAAAACCGGCAGCGGCGGTGTTGCTTCCTGGTCAGAAACAAACCGCGACCGTAAAGAGCGCTTAAGACAATTAGCTTTGGAAACAATTGATCTGAACAAAGATCCATATTTTATGAAAAACCATTTGGGTTCTTATGAATGTAAATTATGTTTGACTTTGCATAATAATGAAGGCAGTTATTTGGCCCACACCCAAGGTAAGAAACATCAAGAAAACTTGGCCAGACGGGCAGCTAAAGAAGCAAAGGAGGCTCCTTCTATGATGGCTCCCGAAAAGCCTCGGGTGGAACCTAAGAAGTTCGTCAAAATTGGCCGCCCTGGGTATCGAGTCACCAAACAACGTGACCCAAGTAATGGGCAGCAATCATTATTATTCCAAATAGATTATCCGGAAATTACTGAAGGTGTTATACCGAGGCACCGCTTCATGTCTGCTTATGAACAAAAAATTGAGCCACCCGACCGAAAATGGCAGTACCTGTTATTTGCTGCAGAGCCATACGAGACTATTGGCTTCAAGGTACCTTCAAGAGAAGTAGAAAAAACCGAAGGAAAATTTTGGACGCACTGGAATCGGGACACGAAGCAATTTTTCTTACAATTCTCCTTTAAGTTGGAACCGAAAATTATCCCACCTCCACCGCCACAGTTGCATCGGGCACTAGGCCCACCTGGAGGTTTCTCTATACCAGGGCCGCCAAGACCTCATCACATGTTTAATGGAGTGCCACCTCCACCTCCCATGAGTGTGTTACCAGTACCTCCACCACCCATGTGAGAAGAAGAATCCCCTGCTACTTCTAAATAAGACGATGCAGGAATTTACTTAAAGCTCCAAGTAAAATTTTTAAATTACTAGGCTTGATTAACCTTTCCTCGACGAAGTCATTTTTTCATTTTACTCTCATATTTGAAGCCGGCATTCAGTAGCAGAAAGTTTGTGACAGTTTTTTAAAGAGAACTTAAACATTCGTCATATATTACTATTAATTCGGTTCGAGTAATTATTAAAAAAAATTATATTAATAAAACTAGTTACTAAAACAAAATAATTACAGCTTTTGTGTCCAGGTTTACAAACAATAGAGCGCCGTATTCTTACGCTCCTCCTTTTCATTTGTCAAGCGCACTCACGTTGGAATATCAATTCAAATTGCCATAAAGCATACCGTAAAGTTTTCTCGGTATGATTGTTGTTTCTACCGTTTCAAATTGTTCGTTCCCATCAAATATGCAGTATCACCACGAAGACACGAACGTTTGGCCTAATTCTCGACGTGGGCATGAATGTGCCTCGACTTATCGTGACATATCGATTCCTCATCACGAATTATGCGAAACAAAAAAAATGTCGTGTTATAATATCTTTTGAGCAATGTTTCACACGAGGATCACCAACAGCATCGCGACTTGCAATCCTATAACCTTCCCTTCCCCATCTTTTTCAACATTTTCATTGCCTTAAGTATCCAGAATTCGCAGCTTTACTGTTCTGTCAAGAATTTTGCTCAGAGGTTTTCCCACTATCTCTTGCATCTCTTAGTTTTCAAACTTTTCCTTTGCTGCGAACACATGACTATTTTCCAACAATACATGAATCTTTTCCCATATCCTGCTTCATATGATGCGTTTAATGAATTCCAATTTTTTGACCTAAACTACTGATATAAAACGTTTCGCAGGTCTTACTTCCATTTAATTTAAGTTACACACCGAACAAACATTGAATATATATGAATACATGTTCGAATTTTGGAAAAAGGGAAATGAAACAACATATCAAACTATGAGGACTAATCCAAATACAATATATAACCACATTTCAACTTAAAGTAAGGCGAAGATAATACGTTGCTAAAAAGCTATTGAGTTAATATGCAAATTTTAAAATAATGTTCTTGGACGAATTCTAAATAATTCGTCAACTGTAAATTGCTGAATCTACTTATTGGAAAAATTGCAAATTATATATAAAATTAATGAGTGTGTTTGACTTTCGGATCATGTATATGTGAACAAGAAGAAATCCAAGACTATATTTATCGCTCTAAAAAAATCTTAAGACACTACAATTTCAAGGAGACCTTTAATATTAAGGGTACGTACTTAACCCGTTCTCGTGAATGACGGCTGTAAACGTCCATTGCGTGTACTTGTAGACGCAAGCGATGCCTATGGCAGTCGTCTATTCTTATTATTATAGAACAAAAAAAGAAGTTTGTTCTTGCAAGCATTCACCGATTTTAAAGTACGCGTCAACGTGTTACCTAGAGTATTTTTGCCTACAGTTTTGCAGTCTTAATTAATGAAAATGAATTTTAGCCCACATCGATTTCACCACTCTTAATCATTTCCTAAAACGAAAAACAAAAGACAATTCTTCAATATTCATAATCTGATATATATATAAATTTAACAATAGCGCGACAGTTGTCTAATTTTTTGCGCGCAGCATTTAGATGACTGCGAGGGATATTTGTCAAATTCCATGTCATTGTCAATTATAAATTGGTGAACAGATTGTGACAATTTTCAGATAATAAGAGGCACGATCAATTTTTGAGATGGGAAAGTTTGCTACTTCTACTAGTCAGTAATCTATACTTCATGAAAGTGTTTTCGTAAAACTCGTTCAAATGAACTTCCATCTGTACATTGTAGATATAGCATAAACGATTAGTTAGATATTTCAAGAAATTTGAGGCGTGAAATAGAAGTAACCTTTTTTTGTTATTTTAAAAAAATATTTGTTTTTTAATTTCAAATTAATGCCACAAAAACATTTACATCTAAAATATAATAAATAACATGTACAATGAAATATTTTCAAGCTAAACAAAAAAAAAGTTATTCTTCTATTAACTATACCACGGAGTAGGTGTACATAGTTGTAAAATATTGGGTGATTATATTTCGCATTGATCATGTTTTTAAAGCAAGGAGAATAGGTGTTAATAAAAATGTGTGAAGCAAAAGTCGCTTTAGGGTTTTTCGCGTTTTTTGAAGTTCCTTTTCGACGCGCATCGATTAATAATGTCCGAAATGTGAGATTTATGATCGAAAATTTTCATAATTTGATTTTGTGCCTCATTAACACCGTCCACAATGATTTTACTGCGTTGCATATTACCCTAAAAATACAAAATTACGAAATACAATAAAAGTCAGTGGAAATAAACGATTCAATTCAAATAACACACCTTTACTAGATCGCTAATACGTTCAATTTCGTTGTTAATGCCATGCGATTCCATTTGCTTAAGCATTGTGGATAGCTTATCATAACCCAATGCTTCATTTTCGCACTAAGTTAATAAAGGAATCATTAATGAGTTTATAATTTGATGGAGAAATTAAAATAAGTTTTAAAAATAGAAAGAAAAGATTGTATGCAATGGATTTAACACAGCCACCAAACTGATTTGCACAAAAAAAATTATGTCTCGAAAATCAACGCCACATCTTTAAATATGGGACTATTTATAAACCAGTTGAAAGTATCTTTACATTGCATGATTTTGAAGGTAAATCGAAAACTGAATCGATGTTTATTGTTTCGGATTTTCACTACATATTGACTGCAAAGTGATTTATGTGAAAAATCAAAACTAGTGTGATAAGATATATATGAGAAACTTCACACTTCCATAAACTTTTTGATGATGACGTGGAAGCACACCCAATTTTAGAGCATCTACTTTTAAATTTTGCGTATTTAAAAACGTTATGTTAAAATTTCATACTAAAAAGTACTAATCTTTAATTCTTTGATTCTTTACTGACGCTTTCCTAAGTCAAAGAATTTCATACGCGCTATTACGAATCGGAAAGATTTTAATCCAAACTTGCAAAAGAAAATAAGATTCACCGAATATCGCCACCTAAATGTATTGGCAAATCATTCCTCCGATATTAATCATTAATCTTTAGAGTGAACAAAGTAAAATTTTCAGCGATATAATACTAACCAAATCTTCCATTTGTGAACGAAGATGATAAATTTTCCAGCCATTTATTTTGCCCAATACATTGCTTTGCTTTGCTAAATCCATAATGGTCGGCTTTCGTTCTTCTCGAGGCTTCACATCAGAATAGCGTTGAAAATGGTTATACGCCGATTTCCAATTTTGTTTATAAGTCTAAAAAACGTAGTTACAGAAAATAAAAATGAAAGTCGGAATCAATCTTTATAGTAACGATAAGGACAAATTTACACTCAGTAACGTCAGATTACGTGGACGTTTTAAAACATATTCGACCGGCTTTGTATTCTCTTTGCCATTGATAACTGTAAAACAGAGAAGAAATTTTACAATGAAACAAACTAGATGTATGCTGTACGCTACCTTCACGTCCAATGCTGACTGAACTCGGCGTGCAATTGCCTACCACAGCTGTTGGAGTGGTCCCTGCCAAACATACCGTAGATTCGATTATTGCGTTATTGTTAGCGTTCGCTGATACACTGGGATTATTTGACAATAGCGGTGGTAAACTGAGAGCAGCTTGATTTTGTGGTGAAGGCTGACTATCATTTCTGTGGAAAAACCTTTAAAGTCTTAAGAAGTTTTAAAATATCGGCTAAAGAACTTACGTTGACTTTCTCGATTTTTTACGTGGCGGACATTCGATAGAACCTCCGTTAAGCCTCTGCTGTTGTGTATTGGAATTCAAAACAGCGTGTTTTATGTTATGATGGTCCACACTGGTTAAGTTCCGTGAATTAACCGGTGTGCCAGACGTTGTATGCTGTTGGGCCATAGAATGATGACTGGGGTAAAGCTATGAATATCGGAATCAAAAAAGTGAAAAAATTATAACCTGTCTTAATGCTACTTACCTCGTTAATGGGATTGAAATGAGTTTCCATACTTGGACCGCTGATCATGCGATTGATAACCATATTACCATCCTGCATTTGCTGATCAACACCGGGGGACGAATTGGCTGAAACTGTAGTAGATCCATCAGATGAAGCTGGTGAGTCGGTACGAGAATTTCTGGTGGATGCAAGTATGCCACTTGCATTGGAAGTTACACTGCATAGTGTTACACTATTCGCCGGCTTGTCCTTTTTACTCAAAGTTTCGGTACACAACACAACAGGAGCGTTGGATGTGGTTACCGAGGTAAGACTATATGAATTATTTATTGACGAATTTGATGAAGAACTAGCAGCCATCATGCCACTGGAAGATCCCATTGATATAAGTGTAGGTCCAAGATTCTTTGCGGCCAGTATAGGAGAACCATCGATGTCGCGTTTACGGAGAAAATTAGAAACTACGGCGGTGCCAGTAGAACCGTTACCTGCAGTCATTTTTATAGAAGTTTGTAGGGGTATAAGCATATGCTGCGTTTGTTGATTGCTATTCATCCCCACTACGTTATTTCCAGATGATACGTTAGTTTGCTGTGCAGTAGGTATAATGAGTGAAGTCTCCGCGCTACACGCAGACGTTTGCTGTATTACTTGTGGCGTAGTTTGCGATACTGCTACAGCATCAGCAGCCGCTGCAGCTAAATTCCCAGCGGGTAGTTGGCTGAAGCGCACAGGTAAAGCCTGCAAATGTGCTGCTGCATTGCACACCGGTATTTGTACCTGCCCGATTGTGCGACCACCACCTGATGGAACGACTGTGAACGTGGCTGTTGATGTATTGCCACCGGTATGAGTTACAAAGGGTAGCGAAGATATCGAGAGATTAGCTGTAGAACTCACTATTTGGTTTTGTGATATTGTACTATTCGTTACAGTGGTCGTGGTTAACGATAAAACACCCGTGGATACTTGTACTGAATTGGCTGGCACTGACTCATAGTAGATAGTACTTCCCGGCTGTAAAAATGTACCGGATGTAACAGTACCTGTGGAGGTGAGAACGTTAGCAGCACTTGTATTAGACGACATCGAAATAGATGTATTTGATGTAGATATGCCACCACTGCTACCTGAACTACTGGCGCTAAGCGGTCGCTGCGGAACAGGAGCATGATGTATATAAACATTGCCTGAGGGGCCAGCTGCAGCCGAAACCGATGCGCTGTTTTCCAAAGGTGATGTCAACTGGGCTTGTGTCATTACTTTACCCACCGTAATCGATCCAGCGTTTTTAATCGGCGTCATAGTGCCCGTAATTATATTACCACCGCTGGCCCCACGTGTACCAATGGCCAACGGCACTACTGTAGCTCCTCCACTTGAACTGGCTCCCGTCGCTGAACTGACTATATTTTGAGTGGTCAATAATTGGGCACTACCACCTTGCGAAACGTTTACTAATTGTGTTGTTGTATTAGCGGATATATTTGTGGCTGTTATACTTGTCGTTGAAACAGATGGAGATGGGCTATTGCCAGTGCTACATACATTCGACGGTTGCCCCAAAGAACTACCACCAGCAATCGCACTCGATGAACCAGAGGAAGGTAATTTCCCAATACCCAGTTGAGTTATGGTCAAAGAAGGCTGAACTTTAGTTGCCATAGTCACTGGTGGGCGTATACCTTGTGATAAAAACACAGTTTTATATACCTTAGTAATACAGATATCAACCAAATTAATTTAATTAATTATAATAAATTGTTAAAACATTTTTTTTTTATTTACTTTGTTACCAACCCTTTACATCGCTACTGATGTGTACATATAAACGCATGTACGTATATATAAGAATGTTACGAAACTAAGAAACGCTTTAACGCTTCTCTAACCGTTGACCGTTCATTTCATTTGACTTTAAGTTTGCGTGATTCATCTGCTAGGTGGACATACATGCACATTAACTTATGTTGAATGCTACTTCATTTTTTATTTTTATTATTTTTATTTTTTATTTTAACAAACATTAGACTTGCGTTCACATGAAATAACGCTATAATGGTGTCTAATTATTCAAAGTCTTTGAATTCCAAGCTAAAACCGCGTACTGCTACAAATCGTACTTGATTAAAAGTAATCGTGAATGAAGGGCAAATTTTTTAAGGTACTTCGATCACTTATCACTGCCTAAAAATTCGTCGAATACCTTATAAAAAAACCTGCTTTATGTTAATACTATGTGAAAATATCATTGAAACACAAAATAATTACAATTCTGAATAAAACACGGTCAGATAATACTGCGCTCGATCCAGAGATATGTGCTAACTAATAAGTAAATTTCGTAACAATTATGACAGTTGCTATTTACCGAACTTTCCGCCTCCAGAAGTGTTTACTATAATCGGTTGCAAGACCACATTAGCAGCCAAACGCCCTGTGGAACAGAGTTGTGCAGCTCCACCCGGTTGTTGTTGCAGCTGAATTATGCGCGTTGCTGGGAGATTGGTAGACGACATAACATTGGAAGTAGAACCACCGACGCCAGTTGCTGTTGTATTGCGTGTTGGATTTGAAGCTACAGAACTTGATACAGTTGACACATTAGAAACACTTGATGTTATAGTTGGAGTAAGTTGCGGCAAATTTGGTGTTCGAATACTAATATTTGTGGTGTTAAGTTTTGCTGTTGAAAACGATTTTCCCAATGGTATTGGCCTAATTTGACGAGGGGACGCTCCAGCGCCAGCCGTAGCTGTTAAGGGAGTGGCTACGGCAAATCTTGGTCCTGTAGTTGCCACCGACGTTGTGTTGAACTGTGTTTGCGCCAGGGGTTGCGATGTAGCCACATTCGGTGAGTATACCAAAGTGGCTTGATGTGGACGCGGCGGTAAAATTGTGGCTACGTAAGTTTGCTGTTGTTGTTGGTTATGAGAAGCAGACGAAACCGCTTGAATCGTGGCTGAAAGAGAAATATCCGATACATTAAATAATTTCTACCTCTTCCTCATAATACTCACATTGTTGTCCTTTAGATGTTGGAGTTTGTTGCTGTCCAGATACAACTGTAGTTCCAGACTGCATTGTAGATCCAGTCGTTGTAACTACTGTTCCAGTAACAGCTACTACGGAGCCACTGCTACGTTGTCGTGACTGGTGTGGAATGGCACGTATCAGTTGCACTTGACCGGCAGGATTTGCAGCCATCCAAGTAGTACTAGTAGCTGGAGATATAACTGTAGTAGCAGGTGAGGTGCTGTTACGGCTGACGGTAGTTCCACGGACAAAATTTCCCGCCGCTGTTATACCAGTTACCGTAGCACCTGCAATACCCGTGGCAGTTACTGATGTCGGTGTCGTCCTTATAGGAGTAACAAGACGTTGACCCGTAGGAACGCCAACCCCCACACCCACACCAGTCATGGAAGCTGCAGTAACGTTAGCTCTTGGCAAATAGGCGGTCTGCGTGCCTGGCCTAGTTACCGTTATTGATGTATTTGATACCGAACGTGCCGGTGCTGTTGGAAAAGCGGTTATTTGGGCTCGGCCTGGACCAGCAGTTTCTAATTGCTTAATCATAGAAGGCATTAGATTCCCCATAACTACCCTAACTTGAGTTGATTGGCCACCAGTTCCTATGGCACGTATTGAAGTAGCTGCTGCGGCATTAGCAGCTTGTGATGTATTTAAAGCAATAGGTGTGCCGCTTGCACCACTGGCACCAACTTTAATAGCACTCATTGCAGTTACGCCACCACTTGTCACCAAGGTGCCTGCACCGCTTGCTGCCGCTGTTGTCAAACTACTTAAAGATATGCCGCTAGCCACATTTGAGACGGCTGCAGCTGCTACTGCATCAATTGTGGTTGTTTTGATATGTGTTATTTTGGCTGCAACTGGATTTAAAGCAAACAAATTCGTTACATTTGTAGGATTTTTTAACTGTATTGGTGATGGTGCAACTTGTGAATTGTTGGGTGTTGTATATATGGGTGGTGTTGGTACTAGTGTTGGAGTAGTTGTAGTAGGTAAAAGTATTGGTGAGTGTTGATTTTGTTGCAGAGTTGCTGGATGTGGATGGGATATTAATTGAGTTTTAATAATTTTGAAATGTTCTGTGGAAATAAAAAGCATATATTTAAAGAAAATAAAAAATAAGTACTTTTCCCACTTCATGTCTTTGGCTCCTATTCTTGGAAAATATATATATCTATATTGAAAATAACGTAAATATATTCAATCCAATAAAGTTACAATCCGTACATTGTCTAATTCAATATGGAGCGCATAAATTCGTCGAAAACAAATACATAAAAATCAGCGCTGTCATAAATATAATGGAATGTAATACAGAAAGGTAAGGAAAATGCAAATAGAAAACAAACAAATGTGCCCACACGTATGCAGACAGTACAATGTATATACATAACATAAAAGTAGGTATATACATAGATATATAATACGTACTAATATGTTCATTTATATATTTACATACATATATTTATACAAACCAATACGTCTATAACTATTTATATTGAATCTAGTAAATACTGAATAAAGCAATAAAAGCAAAATCTTACCTCCCGTTGCAGTAGTGATATTGCTATTACCAACATTTCCTGGGCCAGGTGTTCCTCCGCCACCCGTTGCATTATTTCCATCGGTGCTGCTCATTTTATTCAAAAATGTCGCGTAATTATTAATAAAAATTCTAATTTATGCAAAAAAGAAAAGCGAAAAAATAAAATCTTATTATTTTGATTCACCTCGGAAAAAAAGTACAGCTTGGCGGCAGAAAAATGTTCTTTTATTGCTGATTTCGCACAAACACTTACACAAGCTTTTTTTTCTCTTTTTCTTTCCAACTTGACATATTTTTTCTTATTTCATTTGACAAATTTTTTATTACTCACCTTAATATTATTCAAAGTTTGCTCTTAATTTTAAATGTTATACTCTGTCACTTTTATATATACATATATAAAGATAAAACTGTCAACATACATTTACGGTTAAATTTTATCACTAACTTAAAACATTAAAATAATATTAGAAAACTTCAAATACTTTGATTCACATTAAAACTTGGTAAATTAGTAATGTGAACTTAGTGCTTTTAACACTTTATTTGAAGCGTTTTTTAGCTATTGACTTCGTAAATTTGCGTCGTATTTTTTCGTAAAATCATTGCAAAACGCTCTGTATATATTGCGCAGTGGCGCATTATATCGTAGCTACAGGAAATCCTAAAAAAATATATCAGCTGCGAGGTCTACATTTTATTATTGCAGCTGCCTTAATAACGAAAAACAATATTGTGGAAAACGAGAATAATTTACTGATTTCTACTTTTGTTTGCAATGTAACGACTTTATTAAAAATAAAACGATAACACAATCTTCCAAAATATTTAACAGCTTGTAATGATAAAATTGCACAATATCTATCTTAATCCAGAAATTTTACGCCTCTCACGTTTGTCCTATAATTATCAAATATCGCTTTGCTCAGAATGTCCAATTTACAAGATCTAAGCTATAATTTGAGGTGTGATAAAAAGTATAATCTATGGTAAGCAGGAATTACTTTTAAATAGTTTTCTGATTGATGTTCCTTTTTTTAAAATATATGTGAGTTTCCAAGTGGAGGTTGTCTTTGTTTGTTTTTAAATCTGAAAAATTTCCATATTAGTCTCACCAGTTCAAAAATCAATTAAGTTATAACCGTGAGACATATAATTCGAACTGTAGTTTGAAAACGATATAACAAGGGAACGAAGTGTCAGAACCATTTGAAACTGCGCAATGTTAAGCCTTGTTCAAAAATGCACAACAATTTCAAGACAAAGTAAACGCAAAAAAATTCAACAAAAGCTCGCATAATGCACATTTTTGTAGTGTAGTCGCAAATTTGTATTAATAAGAAAAATTATTCAACTTAATTGAATACGTACTATATGAATGGCGAGTTTAAATGGACGTTTTTTTTAATACATAGAAACGTTACCAGAATTTAAATGCTCTTATATCATCTCTGATTTTGACACAAACCAAAGAAAAGTTGCAATAATTACGATTTCAGCTGATTTATTTTTGAAACGTATGTGTATTTCTTTAACTTGTATTACTTACTAATCGCTGAAAAGTTTTTCAATAATTTCAATTTATTTGCATTATTTAATATTTGCAAGGAAGATAGAAGTTCATTATTTATATTTGAAAAAACCGCACTACATCATTGAAGACGACTCTCTTACTTCATTATCTTAAGAGACATATACAAACGAAGGGGAATCGAAAAAAATTTTGTAATTCTCTTTGGCAACAACGATTTTTATTATTACTCACATGGGTTCAGCTATTTCTCAGCTGCCCAAACCAGCAGACACAGTTAATATGGATTCGCCTCAGGCTGAAATGGTAAAAAGTGCTTTGCAAAATCATAAAGTTGTAATATTTTCCAAAAGTTATTGTCCTTTTTGCACTATGGCCAAAGAAGTAAGTAATATCGATTTAAGGCTTAGAAATATCCAGTTTTTAATCTTTTAACAGCAATTTAGAAAACTTGACATTCCTATTCACGTAATTGAATTGGATCAACGTGATGACGGAGATGAGATTCAATCCATTTTAGGGGAAATGACTGGCAGTAGAACGGTAAATATCATTAGTTTTTGTTCGTGGTTCGCCTAAATCAATGCTAAAGTAATAACAATATTGGATGCATGACATCATATAAACCCTTTGGATATACATTTTTATAGTAGAAATTTTCATACACTAGTTTTAGTTAATTTTACACAGCCAAATAATAAAAGAACATTATTTCCGAAGATTTAGGAAAAATTAAAATATTGTAGCTGATAATTATTTTTGCCCATGGAATACGGCTACCGAAGAGTCTTCCAAAAAGAAAAACGAAATTGAGGCATTTAATTTCTAAATTCGATTTCTAAAGCCGATTTGCTGGTTTTCTTAACTAAGCCAACAATTGTTTATATAGAGTCAAAATTTTCGACAATCTTCTTAGTAAAGAAACTAATTTGTGAATCAAGGCAGTAATATTCAAAATAACAAAAGCATTAGGAATGACTAACATTCAATCTTTGAAGAATAATTGTTACAATACTTTGCGTATAAATTAGTTTTATAATACTAATTTCAAATATTTGACGTTTTTTTTAGGTGCCTCGATGTTTTATTAATGGTAACTTTATTGGAGGCGGCACCGATGTTAAAAAGATGTATGACCAAGGAACTTTGCAAAAATATTTTATTTAATTTTCAATTTGCGCACATATAACTTCAATATAGAATTTATGCGCACACATATTAAAGCATCCGAATTTAGTTAAATTGAAAATTTAAAAACGTGTTCACAAAGTATGTTTAAAAAAAACAAATTCGATAATAAATTAATCGTTATCAAATCGAAATTAAGCCGGCATGAAACTTGTCCGAAATAGTTACGATCTTCATGGGAAATTACTATTGTGTTCAGCCAATAGCAAGAGAACAAATAGTATTCAATATTTAACACGCGCTGGTTAAAGAGAATATTTGAAAATCTGATTTTTTTTTTCTTCCTTTTTGTTAAACATGGTCGACTCAATAACTCTCACCCGAAATTTATATGAAGGTGCTTCAAGATACTATTTGGCTAAAGTAGAAAGAAGGTTTTGCTGTCGAAAGCTTATTTTTGTGTTTAGAAAAACGTAGTTGCTTTCAGTTTACGTTTAACTGCGTTACGTTGTGCTCTAACCAATTTGACCCATTTGTAATACCCTCCTGCATACAAAGACTTCCATTCTTTCAACCAAATTTGAAATCGATATTTTAATTTTTGCGACGATCGCGAAGGCATGACTTAATCATATCAGAATTTCAGACTGACCAAAAGTATATATACTTTGTAGGGTGCCTGAAGCATCCTTTTGGGTGTTGCAAACACTATGGAAAAAGAGTATACCTGCCGTTCCTTAATGGTGGTAAGAACATTGTAGTCTTAGAAGCCCGACATTAGATATCGTATCGTACTCCGTGCAGAACAATTCTTCATTCATGTTTCCATTTTTTTATGATAGTCCTTATGTGGAAGAGGACCCAAAAATTGACTTAATCTAAATTTAGCTAAATTAATCTTCTTGTCAAAGCTCTCATTATTATTTGTCACAAAGTACTACAAATTAGACGGTTGCCATACACAAAACTTACTTTTCAAAAACACCCTTGTTTCGGAGTGGTGCTCGGAAAATAGACCAATTTCTACCACAAAATGTAGAAGAAAAATCTATTGTCATACATACATTGTCATGAGAACCCTTACCCGGAGTCGGGTACAAGAAATAGATGCCCATAAACTAATTTTGGTAGAGTTGATTTTTTGGTGACCGACAACACCTATGGACCAGTTTTCACTGTAAAATTTTAAAAATTGAATCGTTTTGCTTTATTAAGGTTTGTTTTGCTTAAGGTCAGTTATTTATGAGGAGGTTCAACACAACATCATGCGGAAAAATTATTACTCAGCGACATTAATCGAGAAATTTTGAAAGTTGTATGTTTTGTTTGCTTGTTTTCAATTCAAAATCGATCGAGTCGATTGAATCGTTCGTGTTCATGAGCTGCGCCAAATTTCTTCTCGCGTCTGAAAGTGTCAAGAAAACAATTGGAAATCAGTTTTCCGCGTCGATGTCGGTTCTCCTAAAGCATCAGTGTTCTTTCGCTACCTTTCCCCCTCGTCTCATTATCAACATCCTGTGTGTAGTAAGATACTCTAGCCTTTTGCCTTATGTGTTATGTTGTCTTTTATTAAAAGCCGATGCAGTATCGGTGACAAGCGAATGCGTTCAGAGTGACTTAACAGAGGCCTTAGCAAAATACCGAGGTGGGGTCAAATAAATCTGTAACACTACCAAACACCGATGACCCTCACTGCGCAGACTAATACGGGAGAGCGATGAACATCTCTTTCTCTTTGATGGTATCGATGCAGAAAAATCAGCTCTGCTTGAAGCTCTTATCACCGAATATACAAACTGTCGCTGCCTACGCCAACTGCACCGATTATTTCCAATGAAAATGAAAATATAGTCCACGAGCAGAAATTGACAAGTCTTACCTGACGACTCTCGCCCGTGTACAACGGAAGATTTAGATGCTCATGGCTAACGGGAGGGTGACTAATAGTCTTAACCCGCTTCACTGTCGACATAATGTCGTCTATATCGTGTTATGTATATTTGCATAGCATGGCAAATATTTTGCTAAGATGAAAAATTTCTATCCACTAATCATGTCCTTTATTAGGGCTAATTGATCATCTCAGCTTACTCACCTATTTTTATTGTTTATGGCAGATTGTAAGTTATCGTTTTTTTTTATATACATTTTTTTCCATATTTCGTTTATACATGTATGTGACTTTTTGCAGATAAATGACACTCCTTCTATTACATAAGTTTCACATGATATAAACATTTGTAAATTTTATACTAAATTTCAGATTAGACCATCAGTTAAAAGAATACTTCAAGCAAATAAAAGAACCAAGATTTCCAATGTCTTATCACGGGTTTTGCGTTTGTGGGCGTGACGATAGCACACGATATAAATATGTGTCAAGAGGCGAACAGAATTAAATTGATGAAAATCTCATATATCTCAGATTTAGTCCTACTGGTTGTGCATCTTAGGTCATCGTCTGGAATTTTTAATTTCGATCTTGTAGACTTTTAGAACTGCTTCTCTGATCCCCTACTATAAAAACATTTCTTTTGTCGCATTTAACACAATTGTCCTCTTACCTTTTACCAGAGTGGATAATAGTTGCGAAGATGTTTGGTTTGTCTCTATGTGGTTATATTTTGGAGAATATCGTGTTGGTATGAAGAGGAAAAAAGCATAATCACTAAATAACCTAGTAATAAACGGTAAAAAAAATTATGCTGTAAGCATAATTGAGGCTGATTTACCGTTCTCATTATCGAGCTATCGTACGATGCGAAAAACAAAAACAATAGGATCGCTGATAGGATAGGCTGAAGATACTCGATTACTTTCGTATTAAATTTGGCTTTTCGCTCGTGCAACGGACTATTTATTATATCATCGCTATGCAAAGAGGACGAAAAAAAGTAAATAAACAAACTAAGTATAAAATTTGAAAAAGATGCTAGTGGAAGAATATTATACCAGATAAATAAATTTCAAGTCTTAAAGCGGAAAAATCTATGACTATCGGCTTTATTGAAAAAATCTACCGCACCTCAGATCCGCGACCATGGAGTTCTTAGTCTTAGATCCTTTGTTTACTCTGCTCTACTTTAATAAGTTGATGATATCACTATTTATTTAAATTTTCGAGTTCTTTTTTCTTAATAGTTAATTTTTATAACATCTACAAGTATGAAGCGGCACCCTTTGTCCGTTTGGTGCGTTTCCTTATCCATTTTATGTTTTTCTTCCGATAGTCCCAACGACTGTCACTCATCTGCTTTTTAAACCCCTTCCTGAGGCTGTGTTGGTCGAATAGGTGAAGAAGATTCTAATTCCAAAGTACTTACTTAGTCGTTACCACACATTTCTTCCTTATTCCCTATTCATTTATCTCTTCTAATTTTATGGTACCAATAGGTAAGTAAAAGCATCGAAAATAATTATTTGATTTTATTTTGCAAAGCAAACACTCATACACTATCTACCGGCCTCTGATCTACATCTTAAAAAAAAAAAATCGCAAACTTTGATTAGCTTAGTTTAATTTTATGCGAAATATGACATGGATTCCTAACTATAATTTTAATGGAGTAACAGTAGGAGAACTATTAACGCATCTTGTTGTACTAGCAAAACTTCGTTTTTTGAAATTATATAGCTCATCTCTTAAACAAAAAGCAAAACTTTAAACTGCTTCTCTGGCTTGCTTGATAATAAAGAAGCTATGGGTATAGCTTTGAATAAGATGCTTCTAACGCCCTCTTTGGAATTCCTTTATATGTTTAGATATGCAATCCATGCATTATTTATTATCAAGTGCAAATAATGATAAATATCTATTAAATAGTAGAATTAAAATTTGAATTTTTAGAGGAGAGAACCATCTTTTGCTTTTTCTTTTTCTTTTTTTGTTTTTTTTTTTTTTTTTTATTAATATATTTTAAAAGTTGAACAAAGAAATTCATCTCATGTAAACACTTTATCTACAAATTATGTATAAATAATGTTCTTTTGATATTCTAATTTGTAACATCTTAATGAATGCAGTAGAACGGGACTATTACTTGCCTTGCGCACAAATGTCTTTTTCCTTTCTTTAACGTTTTTACTATTACAAATTTTATATTTTTGATACAAAAATTTCGAAAAAAAACAAGGTATATGATTCATTTTACGGTAAAGAGGGTATCAAGTTTTAAATGCCAATAGTTAATCCTTTTTGTTGATTCGAGCTTCTTTTGTGATATAATTATAAAAAAAGACAAGATGTTAAAAGCACACCCTTTTGAAAGAAGTAACATTAAGGATCTTAAGGAGAATGTCGCGAGATGCCTTTGTTTTTTGTATAAAAATTGCTGTTATAAAGATGCTAGCAGATATGGACAATTAGTCCTTTTTTTTTTTTGTTTAAAATAAAATGATAATAAGAATAAATAAATGAGACTGTGATTGATAAAGATGTTGGCTTGCCTTGTTGGTTATAGGGAAGGAGAAGAAGAAATTTTTTTTTGTTGTATTTGTATCACCACTAAATTTACTTTTTATTGATGGTTTAAGCGTTGCTCTCGGTAGTGGTGTTTTGGAACTCCTGGCCAACATCCTGGCGTGGAAACGAAATTGTGGCAAACATAAAAAAATAAGGAGGAATAAGGATTTTACTTTTTCTTTTTGTATCTTGAAACTTAATTATATGAAATGTGTGGGAGATTATTTTATTAATTAGTAGGTTATGTGTAAACTATTTTTACGTATACTCTCGTCTGTGCTTCGATTATTATACCCACCACGGCAAGCGCATATATAAACTTGCCAAATTCGCATAACATATGATACAACGTATCGAGGACTCTTTCTAGTACATAAATCTCGATCAAAACATTCGACTAAAATCTTTAAATCAAAATTGAAATTAAAATTATTCGAAACATCTAAGACCAAGCAAGCAATTGGCAAAAATTTGAAAATTTTCTATTTATTCCTCATCACTTGCCATACAATGTTCTTTGAACATTCTTTTCTACTCTCTTCTATTATTCTTTAGACATAACATTGGGTATGAAGTATAAATGTGGACGAAAAATATTTCCTCAGACGATAAAAAAGTGAATGACTGTTACAATGCGGTTCAATATTTTTGATAAAATAAGTGGTTCTAAATATTTATGCCAAAAGACAACAAAGTCAAGCAAGCGAGTGGTGGATACTAAATATAATTCAGCCTACGCCGAATATCCTTTCTCTTTTGTTTCTCATTTTCTTTTATAAACCTTTTAATTAGTAGTGATAAAATCGAGATTAATACTTTTTGTTAGAGTTTTAAATTTTTAATGAATTTTATTTTTTCAAGATGAACATGATTGTTGTAGTTGTTAGTTAAGCAAATTAACATGAAAATGCGTACGTTGTTTAATGCAGTCAAATTACAATTATTACGAATGATGTTAATATAAATATGGATAAATGTGTGTTTTTAACGCAGTTTTTTTTTTTTTTTTTTTTTTTTTTTTTATTTTTTTTTTTTTTTACAATGATAATGAACCAACAATTTTATGAAGCCTGGTTCTATAAGGCTTTTCATTTATAAAATAAGATTCTGTATTTGACTGCTTTGCTGAATTAGATGAGGGAGCTGATTGACTGACTATTTGATTGATTGGCTGATTTAGTTTACCTGTTGATGTTGTTGGTTGTTTGGTTGTCCTCCATTGTTAGGTTTTCTGTTTCGTCGTGGACGACGAGAGTTATTACGAGGAGGACCTTGCCCACCGTTGCCTAAGAGAAATGATTCACTGTTGAAGAAAGTAATACGATAGGAGATTCGTTTATGTAGATATTGGCTTACCATCATTGTTACGCGGACCACGTCCACCACGATTGTTGAAATTACGACGGAAAAAACGTCGTTGTGATCCACCGCGTCGCATTGGCTGTCCTTGACCATCACCACCCCGATGCATGGAGTCAGCGTTCTGATCGGGGCCACCATCACCACTTGACATACCTCCATCACCACCGACAGGACGTCTTGGCTGATTGCGGGGGTAGTAGTTTCTAAAGCGTCGGCCGCGACCACGGCCACCGCCACGTCTAAAGTTGCGTTGTTGCCTTTGCGGCTGTTGTTGTTGTTGCCCGACATCGTGACCTTGATCATCGTTTTGAATTTGTCCATGACCATCCTGAGGTTGTTGCTGCAGTTGATTGCCGCCGCCAGGTTGCTGCCGTTTGCGACGATTTTTCTTAGCCCATGGGCGATAGCTGCGACGCTTGTCGGCAGCAAATTGACTACCGCGTACCGGTTCTCCAGAAGGTCCGGTGACATTAGCAGCCTCATTGCCTTTCTCGCCGATGACTACATCAAATTCGACGACTTCACCGTCACCAACAGAACGTACAGCCTTCTTAGGATTATTCCTGACAATGGCGCTCTGATGGACGAATACATCTTCCTTGGTGTCGTCACGATTAATGAAACCATAACCGCTTTTAACATTGAACCATTTAACGGTACCGGTTACCTTCGTAGCTACAAAAAGAGTTCAAGAACAATAAAAAAATAAAAGGGAAATGGCAAGTGATAAGAAAGAAAATAATGTCTAATAATAGATAAAAATCAAGAAATATATATTATTAATCATTGCATAGTGGAAGATGAGTTAAAATACAAATTAAATTTGTTCAGAAATTGCGCATTTACTGTACGACGCTGCTTTAACTTGCTATAAAATATTTAAAATACAATTGACTCATGAATACTTGAAATGCAAGAATACATACAATGTTTGCTGTAATAAAAGTTGGGGGGAAATTTTATTGCAAATATGCAAACTCACACCGTGTTTTGTAGTTGCTCGTGCAAGCATATGTCTTTGCGTGCGTTTATGTTGATATTTTGAGGTCGAGACACCGGTCTCACTTTTTTCTGACTTTGTCTACAACGTATTCTATTGTTTTTGATGTTCACGATACATCATATATGAAATATACCCCAAGTTTTTATATGTAGTAGGTGATGACCAATTATTTTTTTTATTTCACAAAATGGCGGTGCACAATTATTTTAGGGCCTTTCATTTTTATCTATCTTAAACGGCTACCCCCAAAAAGGAATTGTTACTGCATATTTATTGCATACGTTCATGTAATTATCAATCAAACAAAACGCGAAAACGCGCATCACATTAACCTAAAATATGCACTATTTTTTGTACTTACCAATTACTTCCTTGACAGGCGGTGGCTGCTTTACGGGAACAGTATCGCCTTGAGGGGAGTCTTGCGATTGTTGTTGCTGCTCCTGGAGCTTCGAGTCTTCCATTTTCTTTATTAATCCTTCAATTTAGAAAGCTGAGGAGAATTTTTCTACAAACTTTCTTTGGCCTTTTCTGCTTTAAGTATTACGTTTATCACGCTTTACCAGATTGAAGGGTATTTTCACCGATTTCGTTGTGAGCTTTACAAAATGTCTATTGATGTTGTCTGATGTTTTTGGGACTCTTTCAATTACTCCGTTCTTGTTCTTGAGTGATGGATGGTAAGAAAATCACTCCCAAATCCTTTTTTTCCGCTATGCTGATGTTTCTTTTCCAGATCTTACTCGAATGACGTAAAAATCATGGCCTGCTAAACATGATAAATTTCGGTCACTTTGGTACTATAATTAACGCTAGAGCAAGTGAATACAATATGCATGCTGTGAATACCTATCCTTGTTTACAAATAAAATGGCTACTTCCGTTATAGTCAAGAAAAATATGCTTGCCATACATTTATAGTTATCATGTGCTTAATTGCAACCATTTTCAGGTTATCGTAAGCCATTAAAATCGTAAATCAAAATATTTTTCCGTCTACCTGTCTTATTATTACAATTCGACGACGGAAATGGAAATCAATCTACAGAAAGGGACTTTTAAATTCGTTAAAAATGCAGAAAAACTTAATTCGACTCTTAAAATGTGACAGTCTTAGGCACTGATTATGTATCTTTTAGTTAACTAGCTCTCATTTGCACAGCGTACATTGAAAGCTATTCAGTTAAGTGCTATGTATGGCTTTCGTCATTCGAAATAAATTTCGAATAAATAGTGGGAAAATAAAGGGTAAACTTGGCGTTTGTTTGTTTACGATGATACAATCAATAAGAAAATCACACAAACATAGTTCAAAAGAAAATTGTGTAAAATTTCTAATACAGTGAAATGATTTCATTTACTTCATGTAATTTTATGTATTAGTTTCTTAGAAAAATTTTGAATTATGGACTTCAGCACTGAATATATATATATATCATTTTATCTTTATTTCATATAATACATTAATACATTAACATATGAATTTACCTATAAAGAATGTGTAATATTTTGAAATGAATTGCAAATCAATCCTATATTTATATTATATAAATATAAGCCAATTTTTTAATTTTCACAGAATATCTGAAAACGGATTTATTTTTTATATTTTTTATATCAATACATTTAATTCAACCTTTAAAATGGAAAAGTTATGCAGGTTCTTACTTCCGCACTTGTTCGCTCAATTGCCAGACCTCTAGCGAAACGTCGGCACTGTCGTTAAAATAAGATGCCTTAATCCAGGAAATCAAAAGTTTACTACCTGCGATAGCAGACTTTATCAACAAAATGTTATGTGTGGACGCGCAAAAATGGTACGTTCCCAAAAAATTCGTGTAAAGAATCGTGTAAAAAAGATATTGGCTAAATAAAAAAAAAAAAACGGGTTAATTCCAGATCTAAAAAAGCAATTTAAAAGTATAATAAATAATATTAAAGAATTTTTGTTAGAGTTCACTTAAGAATTTATTTGGTGCTCACAATTCATTAAATATAATATAAAAAGCGAATTATACTTTGAAAAACTAAACTAAATTGTGTAAAAAATATATTATATCTTTACTCTATGCATAGCTCGGGGAATCCCACTCATACTTGTATATAGTTGACATAATCTAATCGAATTGTGAAAAACATAACACGAAGTTATAATGCACATTTGTTATGAAGCCAATTGCTTCAACAAATATTAAGATTATTTCAATAATCGTTTGTTGTACAACAGCAACATTTTTTGTTTGATGTAGTAAAATGGATTAGGTCTGTTGCCGATAAGATCAATATATGCGGGGGTGTGATGAGTGTTTATTATACAATGTTACCCACAATATACGATCACGTATGGAAGGATTAACGATATACAATTGATTGCAAACTTTCGCAAATTAAAAGTATTAATTGGACAATTTTCTCAAAAACCAAAATAAAAATGAGTTCATTTACCTACCTTTCACAAATTTAAAATTTTTGTTCTGGTTTAGCTGTTTGTAAGGAAACAATTTTATTTGAAATTTATTTTACTTTCAATTTACAGATTTCTTCTTTTATAAACGCAGCTCTGTACAACCAATACTTATGCAAACCGTAAGAAAGTTCGAGGCAAAACTCGAAAAAGAAATCTAGTTAACGCCATATATAAGCAGTGCATTTAGTGAATTCAGCAGGAAATTTGGCATGCAAGCTGCAACGTTAGAAAGATTAAACCCATCTCTCAATGTCTTCCAAATCATATTATTTACAAAAAAGAAATTATGTAGTTTTAATTATGTTAAAAGCTATGATAACTTCGTTTTTTAAAGAAATACTACTTTTTATCTTGACGATTTGCAATTTTTTACACAACAGAAATGATACATTTAGGACTGAACAGCATGGTGTTTTTCATATTTACAGGATGATATTGCAAGTTTGCCGACTTTAACGAGTCTTTGTGGGATTTGAACAATCATATGTTTTTGTAAGTGTATAAGCAAATAAAATAAAAAGCAGAAGAGAAATAGAGACAATTTATTATAAATTTAGAAGTTATTTATCTAATTTAAGTTTATTTTTTACTGATTTAAGTTTTTATTATGTTATTCGATTTGAAATTTTGATTTATATTCAATCTTATATTGTAGGGTATACAAAAGGAGCAACAGATACAATTAATTTTCAATTTAAAATACGTTTTTCAAATCAAAACTTATAAGCAATTCCTTCACTTAAAGTAACTGCAACAGTGAAGTCCATCGCTATGTGCCTTCCTTTAAATTCAATTTTTTATTCTTTATCTCAATTATTGGAAATCTAATTTTCTTTTACATTAATTTTTCGTTGTTTACACTTATGGTGATTTGTTTAGTTTTTATTCTCAAACCATTTATTTTTGTTTATATTTAGATCGATATTATTTTTACTTACAAAATGATATGTTGACGCGTCTTCTCATTGTGTTTACCACTAGATATTTATTAATCCGAAAACCTTAATAACGCACCATTATGTGAAGGAAATCAACTCGTCAAAATCAAGCAAAGATTCCTAAATAAAGCATTAGAGATCAAAATCAAAAACAATTACATTGAGCCCTTTTTTCCTTTAAATATATAGAGGAAGGATACATGGTTTCTTCTTTTGAATGATTATCTAGCATTTAAAACATGATCCAAGTCCGTAAATGGAAATACGAAAAGCAACTTAAAAATTTGCTTTTGTTTGTGTTCTATGATCAGCTACTCGGATCTAGTCATGCCCAAAAAATACACGATCCCAACCGTAAAAATTCAATAAAAAAATCTTCCGCTGCAACTAATTAAATATACATATATATATATTAAAACATGTGAAGCTTAAAATCTTTTTCAGTTTTTTTTAGGGTAATAATGTCCCCATACGAATTGATAACTTGCGAAAACTGGCAATACTTTTCACATAAAATATGAAGACCATGGTGATAATATTGTGAGAAGTTTCTTTCGTAAAGCAAAAAGAAAAAAGAAAACTCATGCAATTGCGATTAATATTTTGTACATTTCGTTTAATTAGACATAAAATACAATCTCAGTTCGAACAGAGTTTGAAGAGTCAAAAGTAACTGCATGCTAAAAATCAAAAGAATACACCGAAGCAAATGATTGCAAAAATGTGAAATTATATAAATTGTTCTAAAAAATATGATACTAAATAAATCATAAATTAAAGTAAAAAGGTAATTGAGATATTGCATATTTTTGTGATAAGCAAGATGTTTTTAAAATTACTAAAGCGAGGACATTTGAATTGCATTTTCGTAGTTTTAATACACTGCTTAGTTTTTAATTTGTCGTGACGTCACATCGTATGATCAAATAGCGAGCATTGATTGGTTGTTACTACACCAGCACTCTTTACAGCGCTTCGTTCCCTCAATCGTATACTTCGCATATCTATCTGTACATTTGTTACAATTGTTTATGTTTTGAATATTTCGTAGTTCGTAACATATGCATTTAGTATAAAGAAATTAATTTGTGATATAAATCGTAGTTTAAAGTGAGAACAGCGAGATTACTTCATCTGCGTACTGAAAAAACATTGAAAAAAATTTGTTTAAATAAATAATTAAAATAAGTAATTATGCGCCTAAAATTTCTTTTGAATAGAAATATTAAACGAATTTATTTTTGGTGACGAAGCGAATATATTTTGGTTAACATCAGGGGAATCATGGATATGGATCAATCACTTGATATGGATCTCATGTCTAACGGCATGGTTGATTCGCTAGAGTTATTTAAAGAGGAGGATGCTTTAACTATAATCAAAGAAATGATATCTCCGGGTGAGCAGGTCGAAAACTGAAGATAAAAACTTTAATTATGTTCATGTTATTATTTTCTACAGATATGTTAAAAAACTTTTTGGACGATATGGATAAAGTTCAATTGTCGGACGATCTTTTGGGTTCTATAGATTGTTCTTTGGCCGGTCAGTCTATTAAATCAGAACATTTAACTCTCGAACAGCTTGTCAAACAAGAATCTGCTACTACTCTATATTCATCTTCTATGCCATCTGCTGTGTATAAGCCACTGATATCTTCTGATCCTATGATGGCTTCTAACTTCAGTCCCGTGCCACCTGTGGCAAGTCCCATTCATTCTACAGCATTGCCGTCAAATCTAATGACCCATAATCTGACTACAACTCACAGTGAGCTAAATAAGCATCAACCCCAATATTCACCGCGTCCTTCCAAACAAATGGATGCCTCAATTTCTGGCAATATCATGTTACAGTGTAATTCACCTAAATCAACACCGATACAGATTAATCAATTAGCTACGACAACACCTGTATTACCCCCAATATTGTACGGAACTAGTACATCGACCGCTGGGCCAACAAATATTGTTGGTAATAATTTTATTCTGCAAACTGCGCCCAACACGCTAACTACAAACCAAACTCTGGGAAAAGATTCTCAGATTACGGTTAACACGTCAACCATTAGCAACGGTTCTTTAACTCCTGCATCGACGACGACAGCAACAACAATACCTAATCAAAAGGAATGCACAAAGAACTTGAAACCAATGCCGCAGATTTTAACCGCTCAAGGGATAGGAACGGTAATGAATACAAATACGATGCTTACTAGCATCAATGGAAAAAATGAAAAACAAGCATCGGAATCGCAACATACCATTGTACAAGCGCCATCTGCAATTAGCGTAAGCAATATTGTATACCCACCAAAAGCGTTACACCTGCCGATTGTTTGTCAAACTTAAAAATATGCCTTGAAGGCGCCTGATCTGCAAAATTTAATTAGATTCAACGATGTCTGTTTGTCCGTCTATTCTGCTACGTTTGAAAACGCCAGTGTTTCGTATCATTATCTAACGTTTAATTTTGGAAACAAGCTATATCTATTCATATATCTACGCACAATTGCCAACAAGTACTAGCATTCATGTTTCGCTCAAATTATCATCTAGCCGTGGTAGAGTTTTTGGCTTCGCGTGCAAAGTTCTGACATTTTCCTTTATAACATTTTGCGCCAAGAACTCATCTTTATCTCACCTTCTTACACTTCTAGAAAGAGGTGGAGGGAGGGCGGCGGCGGCCCGCCCGCGGTGGTCTTACAAAAATGCATTTGGCAACTTACATATTCGGCCCAAATCGAATGTAACGTTTTTTTCAACTAAGTAAAAACAAAAGTAAACAGCCGATTCTTCATTATTATGCCTTTTGTTTGTATTGTTAGTGTAACAGTTCCTCTATCACACCTTTATCCACACCATCACAACAATATCCCGGAAATGCTTCTGCTCAATCTCAAGTAATTATACAGGCAAATCCCACAGTTATGTATGCAACAGCAAACGGCACAGCTATCTTGACTTCTCATATACCGGTCGTTCTTGAGCCTGTGAAAACTACGACGAAAGGTAGCCCTGCCACTAGTTCTACAGCCTCTACCAGTTCGGAAAATAAATTGCTGATTAGTCGTGCACCGCCCAAGATTAAGGAAGTGAAGCGATCAGCTCATAATGCTATCGAAAGGCGATATCGGACCTCAATCAACGATAAAATCACTGAACTCAAGAATCTAGTGGTTGGTGAGGCTGCTAAACTCAATAAATCAGCAGTGTTGCGAAAGTCCGTTGAAAAAATACGTGATTTGCAACGTCAAAATTACGAGTTAAAATTGGAAGTGCAGCGTTTGCAAGGTGAATTGATGTCACGGGATGGCTGCAAAGTTCAGGATTTGTTGCAACCTTCTGTAATTCGTAAGAAACGTAAGACCACTCCGGCTGAAGAATTGCTTATGTATGGTAAACAGCCTTTAATGACTCCGCCGCGTAGTGATGCATCTGATCATTCTCTTTCACCGCCGCATTCGGATATTTCTTTACCACCCTCTCCATATGATGGTTGCAATTCCAATAGCAGCAACAGCAGTAACCAAAGCACTGCAAGTGTTAAAGATGAGATGGAAATTTTACCAAAAACCATGCAGGGAATGGCAACACATTCGCGTTTGGGTTTATGCATTTTTATGTTTGCTATTTTGGCCGTAAATCCCTTTAAAGATTTCCTTCGCTCCCCAAATATAGAAGGGATTTTCGAATACGACGAGAATGATTTAATTGGACAGCGTAGAAGCATATTATCTATTGAGGAGAAAAGTAATTAATATGAATACTTTCGGAGGCATAAATGTTTGTATCTTTTCTCTTTTTACTAGGTGATAGTTCTATGTTTTGGGGTACTTCTACTTCGTCATTAATTTTATGGACAATTAACTTAATGGTAATGTTGATTTGCATGATTAAATTATTGGTGTACGGAGATCCCTTGTTAGGCTCAGAAACCAAAGCTTCTGAAGCTTACTGGAGACATAAAAAACTAGCGGAACATCACTTTGCAACGGTACTTCTACAGTTATATTATCAGAGTTTGAGAAATTTGTAAAGTTTTTTTTAAATCCAGGGTAATTTTAAAAAAGCTTACGCTGAATACTTACGTTGCCTGCAAATTTTTGGCATTAACTTACCGGCCACACGGTTAGAATCATTTTCTTTAACTTCTTGGCAGTTTATTCGTTTATTTTTCCATCGACTTTGGATTGGACGAATTTTGTCACGCAGAGCTGGTGGATTATTTTGTACGGACGACCAGCGTAAAGAGGCCTTAGCTTCAGCCCGAGAATTGGCTTTAATTTTTAATCGTTTGAATCAATTACATCTGACGTCAAATATTAACGATTCCCATGGTTTGGTTATGGCTTTGTACGCAATCAATATGACAGAGGTAGCGTCCAATATCTTAACACCCGATGAATTAGCAGACATATATATTACGTCAGCTTTACGTGTAAAACAAAGCTATCCGAAGTATTTGAAATTTTTCGGACGTTATTTTATAAGTCGGGCCAAAAGTGAAAACGCTAAAATTCAAGACCACGCCAAAAACACTCACTGCTTATTTACGGCTTATGCTTATCGATATTTCATAACTCATGATTTTGATTTTGTTGAAACGGCTATGGAAAGCAAGGATAGTTCATCTATGTTTGCACAGCTTAAAAACCCGGCTGATCCTATGTCGTATGTCATTAAGGTATTAACTTAAAACAATTTAAAACCTTACGTGATAAGTAAAGTTGACAAATAATATGATTGTTTCTCAGAATTATCGGGAACATTTGCTATTGCGTGCAATAGAATGTCTTTTAGGTGCAGGAAACATTAAATCTTCATCGAAACGGTCCGAACTTAAAAATATTACAAACAATAGCAATGAATCTGGCACTTCTGCAGTTAGTGGCACCATAGTTAGGAACGTCTTGAAATATACCTCCCTTTTGCGTGACACATTGTCGACAGAGAATAACGATATTATAGTTGTATGGTGGTGCAGTGTATTGGAATTGGCTGTACATTGGTTTATGGGTGAAGATGCCGCGATTGAAAAACACTTGGACAATGTTAAAATGCTGCCCAAACTATTAGCTGACCACGGTGATCATTTGCCGAAAGCTTTATACGCCATAATAAAAGCTAAAATGATCCTAATGAAGTAACTGACTGTTTAATCAATGGATATCACCATATATTTTTATTTATTTTATTTTTAAACATTTAAATTTTTTTAAAACTCAGGAATAGCGGTCGGGTTTTGGAAAGTTGCCAAAAGCAAGCCATAATGAATATTTGCGATGAATCGAGCGCTTATTTGCAGGAATGCTTAACGGTTAACAAAATAATTAAAAATAGAGGCATTAAACTGGTAATTTTTTTTATTCTTAAATTTATTCAACAATATTTTGAGTTTCAGATTATCTTTCTGGACCAGATATAATTACAAAGGTGCATTGTAGTCGCATTGTCCGTGTTATAAGGAAGAAGTCGGCCAATACTTCTGCAATGCAAACTTTGTTAATATCAAATATCAACCAATCATAGTATAATAACTCAAAAGTCGAATAAATTTGTAGTATAAAAAATATTGGACTTTTGAAGCATTTTAAATGCATTAACCAAATTTCTTAGCTTTTCCAATTGCTTACTTGTGATTGGATTTTGGAGACCCGCACCGAGGTATGGGAATCGGAATATATGTCACTAGACGACGATGGTTATTATCAAGTCCCTGGTAAAGTTTTGGAAAAATTCCAAGCGGATTTGAATTCTCTACGCAACATTGTTGAATTTATACCGGTATATATCTATTTAAACAATTATAGCACAAGTTTTAAACTTCAAATTAAAATAAATTGAATTTCATTTTAAATTCAATTTAAACCTTGTAGCCTTGATAGTAAAAAAAAGAGTGAATTTGAAATTGAAATTTAAAAAAGCAAACAACTTATGTCCTCTTTACTGTGAATCCTTGGTACATACAACCTCAGAGTGATTTTTCAGCTTGTGGACGTACTGTTTTGAGATAGACTAATTTTCAGTCATAATTCTAGGCTGAATATTAATTAGGGATCTAATAATATTTGGGTCCATTTACAGGCGATAGCTGCCATAGAGTATAGGTTGTTGCACAACCATATTTTTGACGTAATTTGTTCAGTTCAACCATGCACTCATTGAAGTTAAATTTCGGTACTGTCTCAGTTTTTGAAGCAGTAGAAGTTTAAACAACAATCAGCGAATGGGCGGGACATAGCCGACTCGCTTAAGGTGCTTGCAGTCTCTGAAAATTATTTAAAACGAAATGATAAAAATTTAACATTCCTCTTCTTGGGTAGAGAGCATAAGAATTTAATTTGAAGTTCGAAACTTGTATTGAAAAGATCAGAAAAAACAAAAATTCAACTTTTTAGAGCTGTCAGTCGCGTATTTATCTCTATGAGGCTGTATGTCGCTTGATGGCTGGCGCCTCACCAGGTCCAACTCAGCAACTTTTAGATCGCAGCCTACGCTACCGACATGTACGTTCATCGCTAATTTGTGGAAGTAAAGACAGAAATCACAATCTTGAGTACGGCGAACGTGAAAGGGCTGCCGCTATGTATGTTGCTTGCAAGTATTTACCATCAGCTTTGCTTTGTTCACCGGGAGAGCGAGCCGGTATGCTGGCCGAAGCAGCCAAAACTTTGGAGAAAGTTGGTGACAAACGTAAATTAAAAGAATGCTATCAGTTAATGAAATCTTTCAGCAGTGGTTCTGCTGTTACGAACTAAACTATTTAAAATTCACACCTATGCACATATAATTTTGTCTTAACCAATTTTATATTATAAATAGTTGAACGAAATGTTTACATGCAGTTTGAAATTTGACTGGCTAAAAGATTTTCATTATTATGAGAATTGACTAATGTAAGGCGCCTAAAGCTATTACTAATATGTAGATAATTATTAAATATATGTTATTAAAATGGTAATCCTATACATAAATTTTTATAAGGTAAATGTTAATTGGTAAATATAATACGAATATCGTAGAATAGAAGAATTTACGAGATGTGCAATCGGTATTTTCGTGGTATCTTAAATTTAGTTGAAACTAGTTTGTTAACTTCTCTTTCTTGTTTAGTAAATATTGAGGTTACGTTAATAAATATTTGACATTTCGGAATTTATTTTTGCCGCTGTTCTTGGTATTTTTTTCATATTTTATTTAAGTGAAATTCTTTACATCTAGACGTAGAATTTTATAAATTTTTTATTAAATAATGTCCATATCTTCTTGCAATGATTTCATGGGTTTCCAAGTAAGTCGTGAAATTATACTAATACTGTGCACTTAAATAATGTCGTAACATTTCACAGGAGGCTTTAAAGAAGATGCGAGATATCGATGATAAAATAATATATGCGTTAAATACTTCCTTGCCTACCGAGTCATTTAAGGGACAAATAGATCGTGAAAAGACTTGTCGCGATTTGTATGGTCATTTAAGAACTGGACATGAAAAACGTGAAGAAGCCATACGCAATTGTATTTTGGTATCAGCTGAAACATTAAAAAGTCTTCGGGAGAAACGTGATACTAACCCCAATGACATTGAAATAGATAAAAAGTTTAAATCCGAACAGAGGAAGGTAGTAATTGGCAGTTTAAATAATTTTTCTTTTATATTAAGCTGTAATCCATGCCTTCTCTAGCTGCGCGTACTACAGTCTGAATTAAATGTTGAAGATATTGTTAAAGAACGCTCCTACAAAGCATTTAATGAACGCTGTAGAATCTTTTTCCAAGCCGGTCCCTCAGTCTTATGATGCCAATTTACTCGGATATCCTTTTGCAGTTGCGAAGACTTAATTATCGCTTTTCGCAATAGAAATTTAGTTTTCTTAACAAATTAGAAAAAGTAAAAAACCATTATTTTATTCATTCTTATGTAATGTGCAAGAAGTTTTCTCAAGTTTTTTTATAATTCTATTTTCTATTTCCTGAGAAATAAATAATGTCAATGTATCCTCAAAATCTCGAGCTTTTATTGCTTATTCGTTAAGAGGTAAACCATGTAATAGATGCATTTGTTTAATGGTGCGTTGTTCCAGATTGGCTAATACTCCTAAGACGTTTTGACAGACGTCTTTAATTTCATTATATTCGTGTAGTAGATTTATAATATCTTGTTTACGAGCCTCCTCCGTTAGGGGTCCATTGAAATTAGATAAGTTGTTTTTTAAGATTTTATATTGCTCACAAGCTTCAAGCTTGGTAATATTTTGTATGTCTTTCTTAAAGGACATAATTTAATAAAAATATGTGATAAGCTGTTGAATATGTAAAACTTGTATAGGGAAATGCATCTCTGTCGCCATCTTTCCTGTTATATTTTTATTCCTATTCCTATTGCTTATCATTTTGTTTTCGTTTATAACGTATAAAACACGTAAATTTGCTTGATGTATCTAACAAAATCTCTAAGACATTCATTTTCTAAACTATTGAAACGCTAAATTGGGAAATGAAAATGAACACTGTAAGCCTACAGATACGAATTTTGACAGTATCCCTTGAAAGTACAAGTCTATTGATCTACCCTATCTTGAGGTATTCACAATCCCTAAGCAGTAAAAAAAACTGAGTGTTGGATATATGTATTTTATTAGAAAATAAAAAATCAGCACAAATTATTTAAATAGGTAATTTATTTGACAAAATTAAGAAAAAAAATATTAAATAGAAAAATTCATAAGTTCTACGCTGCTGGCGCGTGCATATCAAGATTTTTTAATATTCCCTGAAAATGTAATGAGCGAAAATGGTGACAAATTTCGATCAGATTATATGGAATTGTAAAACAGGCAGGGGTAGGATACGTAACGGCAATAAAAGTGTGTGTACTTGTGCAGCAACAGACTTTCGCATTCGTGTTTGTATGCGTGTGTTAAGCATGCTTGACTACACAAGAGAAAAAATTGATAGGGATGAAAAGTAAAAGTTTCTTTCGCAACTGATTTTTGTGTTCGAAAGAAACCCATTTATTGCTTAGAATTAGATAGCTCCAATATAAACGTATATATATGTATATATATATATATACATAAATAATATATGTATGCATATATGCATATCAGTGTTTTACGTATGCATGTGTTATATACATATATATATATATATATATATATATATATATATATATATTTATATATAAATAACTTTAAAGTTATATATGTACACTGAAATAACCACGCCCTTACTAGGACTAACAAACTAAAAAAACTTCCATTGCAGACATGTCTACCACACACAGGCATCGCTACAAAAATGCAGGCTTGGACTCAAGCGAAATGCGTAGGCGTCGAGAGGAAGAGGGTATACAGATACGGAAACAGAAACGGGAGCAACAATTAACAAAAAGACGCAACGTAATTTTTGATTCGTCAAGTGGTAATGCCAATCACGTGGATAATGACATAATGCAGGTAATATTTATGAAATTCATCTAAATAAGCTTAGCTTTTCAATTATTTTTGTTTAGGAGTCGGAAATGCAACAGTTACCAACGGAAATTACACAACCTGCAGATTCGTTCAATCTATCAACCCAACAACAAAATTTAATGAATCAACATCACCTCCAACAACAACCACAGCCGTTTCATATGAATTCAAGTCTACCATCCCAAACAATGCCCAATCAACAGTATCCGAACAGTCACCAGATAAACTCCAGCGACACTAACACAATAATTAGTAAAGAAATGATCGACCAATTATATAGCGACATGGAAAGCTTTCAACTGGAAGCTACGCAAAAATTTCGCAAGCTGTTGTCTCGTGACCCAAATCCGCCAATTGAAGAAGTCATACAAAAAGGAATCGTACCACGTTTTGTGCACTTTCTGAAAAATAACTCTAATGCTTCTTTACAAGTAAATTACATACAATATATAAAAATTTTGGAGATTCGGTTTTTTAACATTATTCCATTGTTTAGTTTGAAGCTGCTTGGACACTGACAAATATAGCATCAGGTACATCACAACAAACGAAAATTGTCATAGAAGCGGGCGCAGTGCCTATATTTATTGAATTACTTTCCAGTCCGCACGACGAAGTGCAAGAACAAGCTGTATGGGCTTTAGGTAACATAGCTGGGGACTCCCCAGCTTGTAGAGATCATTTATTAAATCTGGGTATAATGAAGCCGTTGCTGCAGTAAGTTAATCTTAGTTTTGGATTTTAGATTTAATTAAAGAAATCTTTTTTATGTGGTTAGCGTCCTGAGTAATACTGAAAGTTTAACAATGATACGGAATGCGGTATGGACTTTGTCAAATCTTTGTCGCGGTAAAAATCCTTCTGCTGATTTTTCTAAAATTGTTCACGGTCTGCCGATATTGGCTCGTCTACTTAATCATACTGATACCGATGTATTAAGTGATACTTGTTGGGCTATAAGCTACCTCTCCGATGGACCTAACGATAAAATACAAGCGGTTATAGACGCTGGAGTTTGTCGCCGTTTGGTTGAATTGCTTATGTAAGTTTAACTGAATTTTGTATAAAACCGAAAGAGTAAAAATTTATAAAAATATTTTCACTCTCCAGGCATTCCCAAAATAATGTAGTAACCGCTGCTTTACGTGCTGTAGGCAATATTGTTACCGGCGATGATGTTCAGACGCAAGTTATACTCAATTGCAACGCTTTACCGTGCATTAGCAATTTGCTGACTTCTCCGATGGATACAATTAAAAAAGAGGCTTGTTGGACGATTTCGAATATTGCGGCGGGTAATCGGCAACAAATTCAAGCTGTTATTGACGCGAATATTTTTCCAATTTTAATAAAAATTATGCAATCTTCCGATTTTAAAACGAAAAAAGAAGCTGCCTGGGCCATAACCAATGCTACAAGCAGTGGAACAGCCGAGCAAATTAGATATCTGGTTAGTAAATTGAATTTAACAGCAATTACTTTAAAATTTACTTATACGTATGGCTTACTTTGAAAGGTTCACGTTGGTTGTATACCACGTATGTGCGAATTTTTAACGGTGGTCGATTCTGATATCGTTCAAGTGGCTTTAAATGCGTTAGAAAACATTTTAAAGGCTGGTGAAAAATTCTCTGCCCGACCAAATCCTTATGCGATGACTATCGAAGAATGTGGTGGTATTTGTTTTACATTATTTTCTAAAAGCTCGTAATTTTACTTTTGTCTAATTTTTTTCGATAGGTTTGGATAAGATTGAATATTTACAGTCGCATGAAAATCGCGATATTTATCATAAATCATTTTACATTATCGAACAATATTTTGGTAATGAAGAAGAGGATTCCCGTGTAGCACCTTCGGTAGACGGAAATCAATACGCGTTCAATACTGATGTCGGAACTCCGCAGGGCGGTTTCAATTTTTAGCCATTTTTTATATAAACACCATGCAAAAAAATGAAAGAAAAAAGAACATAAATTTTGAATTGTTAAAACTGTTTGCAAAAATTAAGCGAAAACTAACTAATTAGACCTACAACAATAACTCTGAAAAATGAGAATTTTCTACAGTTGTCCTAAGCTGCGATGCAACAATGATTTGAATTGATAAACGAAATGAAAGAAAGAAACAGAAAAATACACTTCCATAGCACGTACTGATGAATACGTAGCCCATTTAAAAACTTGCATACAGTTTTTATCTCAAAGTTAAAACTGCTTTAATTTTAATTCAGGTAACAACCCCAGTTTTGCGAAAATTGCATGTTTTCTGATGATTTCCTAAAACCGCTAATTGTCTCCCAATTTTATTTCAATGTTTCATTTGTAATGCTTTTGAGAAGACATATATGTAGATACGTTTACATATAATTATTAGAGCTTGGGTTTAAACTTCTTTGTTATTTTTGCTTTTGAACGTAATCTTCTTTGAGGATCATTTTTACTCAGCATTCGTTAAGTTTTCTTAAAAAACAAAACATTATTAAAACTTGTCGATCACTTTATAATTATAACTCAATGAGATAAACATAAAGAATGAAATAAATACTAAAGAAAGAATCTGTATTATAATATTTCTCTTCTTTCCAAGCAGATTCTTTTTATGACATGAAAATTTTCAGTTTTGCATATGCGAGACATGCTTACGTAACTCATAGAGAATTAAAGTTAAAGCTGATGCAACGTTTAAACTGTCTGCACCTTCAGCAACAGGTATATGTAAGCATTTGCCTCTGTTGCCCACGGTCTGCATAAATCTGAAAGTAGAAAATGAGGGTTTTTCAACAGATCATATTTAAGTGTGAAGATTATGTATAATGACTGCAAATTTGTATGCCTTCCACCGAAGAGCGGCTTTATATTCAAATGTTTGCAACATCCATCAGCATGTTTCAAAACCTACTAAATATGCATATTCTTGATCAGTATCAAAAGACTAAAGTATTTGTGTCCATGATAAATATTATTTTGGCTGCAAAACTTATGAAAAAGACTTCAAACTTTGGGAAGAAACAGCTACAATGCGGTATAAACGGAAGACACCTATGTTCTCAAAAGCGAGAAAAATTGAGTTTATGGTTATTGCTCGTAAAATGAAAATTTCCCTGTATCAGGTGTAGTAATGAATTCTTTCAGTTTTTTGATAAAATTCTAGTTTATTTAAAAGATACTTGTTACTTGTCGTTATTTATCTTTTGCCTTTTGTCGGGCAACATGGGCATTTTCTCACGGTAGGAACTTCGTGTTTCTCATATACAATAGTCATCGACCAATTTTCGCATGTGTTTCATTGTGCAGAACTGCTAAACTGCGGTCACGACTATCCAATGTTATTTTGCTTGTTTTTTAAGTGCGGTGAATAAAACATTCGACTGTAGCTGCATAATCTGCTTATTTGTTTTAAATTCAATTGTCGAATAGCTTTTATAAAATGTTCTTCTTTTCAATCTAACATCTTTGACAAAATACGTTAAATTCAAATCCCTTTAAAGCTAGGACAGCGAAGACCGTGCTGGATCAACGCCAGTGCGTATGGCATGCAATACAGTATATTGCTCGCAAATCTAACACAAAATAAAAAAAAGAAAAAAATATATTTTTGAATTGGACTCAATCAAAAATGACTACGCAGCATTGCCTAGGATTCGGACTGTCGCATTTACAAAATGTCTTTGAATTACTGTTACCTTTTATTGCTGCCAAAAGGTCTTTCGATGGCAGCGGAAAGGAATTCATTAAAAACAAGAAGTTCATTCGGGACAGTATTCAAAAAATATTGAAATGATATGCATTATGTGCAAGTTGCGATGAATATTCGTTTTAATAAAGTAATTTTGCTAAGTGCACGTTGTTTATCTTTCCTTTCAATGTAATTAGGAAAGATTATTACTTACTGGTAAGCTTCCTTGCTAACTCCATGGCTTTCACCACCAACAATAACGACGCTGTGAGACCCCGTTTCTAAATTCGTATAGTCGAGTACACTTGTTAGTCCTTTGGATTTACTTATGTTGTTCTCTGCTATAAATACCCAACAATTGTCTGCGGCTTCAGTTGGTATCACTAACGGAACTTCGTTCCAATTAACATCGTCGTGTATTGGTATTCTAAAGTGGCCACCGCAACCACCTCTTAAAGATTTTGATTCCCATGGATCACAACAGCCTTTGGTGATTACAACTTGCAGGCAAGGCAAAGCAGCACAGGTGCGTATAATGCTGCCCAAATTGTTTGGATCGCGTATATTATCACAAACTACAGTAATGGGTAGGGCTACCGATACTTTTGAAAGTGTTTTGCGAACGTATTGTAAACATGGCCTTTCAAATATAGCTAACACCCCCGGTGGTGTATTGAGCGTAGACCAAAGTTTTAGATCATGGTGTGGTACTTTGTAGATTTCAGTTTGTTTTACTTTTTGCAATACGGCTATTTTCTCCTTTATGGCAGCCAGCTGCTCGCGTTGGCTAAATATAACCGTTTTCAAATGAAGTCCGCATTCTAAAGCTTCCAATATTAAACGTCGACCTTCAATAACAATTAGTCGATTTTTGTCGCGTCTCCTTTTTGACCTGACAGTAGTCATCATAATATTCAAGCGCGGATCAGCCAAACTGAGCTTTGTAAATTCGAAACCAAATTCCTTATCATTAATAATTTGACTTTTACATTCTTTTTTCAAAGGCCTTCTCTTCTCCATTTCCGATAAAGTCTTAGGTGGGAGCATTTGTTCTCTAATGGAGTTTTGATTTAACATGCTCGTCCCACTTTTTAGGCGCTCTGCAGCTATCAATGGTTTATGTTGTAGGAAAGATTGCTCAAAAAGATTCTTTTCTATTAATAAAGACTCCTCGATTTCCTTTTCATTTTCGATTTTGGTTATGCATTCTTGAGTTAATATTTTTTTCATATTACTCAATTCGCGACATGCTATGTTATTAGGGAATTTGAATAAGGAAATCCTAATATTTTTGCAAATATTTAATAACATATTAGCTGATTTAACAAAAGAGTGTGCGTTAACATCCAACCCGAAATTTGCTGAGATGGTAATTAATTTGTTATTGAAAAATTCTCTAAGAAATGTTTCTTTGATTTTTGGCAGCATCATTGTATTGAATTATCATGTTATCGATTTTTAATTTTATCGATGAATTACCATATAGATTAGACTTTGGTCATATTGTGAAGAATTTACTGTGTTGTATAATTTTTACTGGGTAAATAAATTTGTTGATAATGTTAGTAGGAGCAATAACTTACTTGAAGCGGTGTGGTTTTTATTTAGAGTACGATTTTGAAGATGTTTCTTCCTCAGTTATTAAATACAACATTGGTTAACACAATGATTAAGCGGCTGTTCTCTCAAAGTCAACCATTGCGGCAGGGAGTAAATAACCACAGCCCTAACAATATGGAAAAACGTTTTTTGGTTTGGAGTGGCAAATATAAAAATATCGAAGAAGTTCCAAATTTTGTAAGGTAGGAGATGTGTTAATATATAAGATTCATGACGAATTAATTAACCAAAAATTCAACCTGTTCCACAAACTTTAAGCAAAATCATTTACTTTTATTTTATTTGATTTGTTTTACAAATTTTCGGAGAAATGAAGGATTACTCGATGAATGTATATCAATTTTGTGTTTATGTTTGTTTTAATACGTATGCATCAACTTTGTTTTCCTTTATGTAAGGTGACGACGATCATCTTCCCGAGAAGATAGTTGCATTAGAATTAGGGCTCCGTTGCGTTTTTAATGATTCTTAGAATATTAATATTGCGTAGTTGGTTCTTCTAGTTATGGCAACCAGATTTTCATTAAAAATGCACTTCTTAAGAAAATAATCCAAAGAGGGTATAAGTGCTTTTTAAAGCAATGTGTTCGGTGACCTTGACTTCTTCTAAATTGAGGATTAAGCGGAAAATAAATGTGTTTTGTTTTTAAACCTAATGGTTTCTAATGGTCTACTATTTCTTCACTTTTTTGAATATTATATCTCTCCTTGGAAAGTATGTGAGTTATTGGTTAAAATAATGATAATATAGAGAAGAGGGAACTACAGAATAGTTAGCAAGAGAAGTTCTATACTTAATGTGTCCCATGCAAGGAGTTACGATAGTTATTGAAGCGTTGCTACTTATTGATGCGAAAACTGAGGATTTTATATATTGAGGCTAATGCGTGCGGCGCCGTCGGAATCGCAAGGGTGTAGTGGTGTACAATTAAAGTTGCAAACTGGGTATCACTCAAACCCAATTATCACATTTCCTCCTCATGTTCATGTCTTCGTAAAATTCTCCTCCTACGACTTTTTAAAATCTAAGTTGCTAGGTAAAGCATCGCCTTAATCCTTAAACAGATATGTCTTCCTCTAAGAGAGCTTATTTCCTATTGCGAGTATACGACACTCTCGAAAGGCTATTTTTGTATATAAGCCGATTCAGACCATACGTAAAGTAAACTTCTATCTAAGAATCGGAGATACCATTCTCCACAATTGAATATCGGCCTTACTGCTTTATCATATTAAATTTCTCTCCTGAATGTACCTCTGTTCAACATCATTCAATGTTTGGGGGGCAAACTTGATTGGTGTCTCCGAATCGTCCTTAAAAACATGGATAAGTGTTGTTTCAACGTCAAAGGCACTAGTATTCACGGTCAGAACCAATGGGTCTTCTTAGTCGGCACGGAATATGACATTCTCATGTAATAACTGATTTAATGGATATGCTATATCTCTAAGATCTTTGATTAACCGACCATTATACTTTATTAAAAGAATATAGATATCTCAACCATATTAGGGGTTTCATGCATTGTATAGCATCGGTTTTACTTTGCAATTTGTGCTTACCTTCTTTGTTCACTTAAAGCCCGCATTCAATATAAAATGAAAAATTATGCCATTTTCATTATTACCCGCATATTTTGCTTATTTAATCTGCTTAACACTTCGTTGATGCGTTGAATATGTGCGTCGTTACCGCCAGCAGTCATTTTTATGTAGTTGAGAAACACTTTGACAACTGGTATATCGCCCAAAAATTGTATCACAAACTCTTGTCAGTTCGGTGATGCACACGCTATGCCAAACATCGTGCTGATTGATATAATCCATGATGAATGTTTAACGTGATGTGAATGTTTATCAGGATGCTTGGAAATCCAATTGTAGGTAAGCTTTCGATAGATCCATTTTCAAATATTTTTTTCCAACAGCTAATCACGAGAACAATTCATCTATTGGTAGCAAGAGTCAGCCAACCACCCAGCATGCATCTAATGCAATTTTATAGTCTCCACCTATTTGTACCATTTCGTTTTTTTTGTGGTACGCAACAATGAGAGTCAGTTCATTTTCCCTGGCACTTCCAACCCCGTGTGGTTTTTTTTATGAGTTGTGGACTTTTTAGTTCTTCTTAGCTTGCTTTTTAGCAATGGATTTTCTAGAGATTCATGTGATGTACAATTTATTTTGTATCAGAGTGTTTCCACTCCCTGTAGCCTTTGTATACCTGACACATTACAATAAGTTCAAACATTAACTGAAGAGTGTCGGGTCACTTTTGAAAACTACTGAAATATACTCTATATTATTTATGCTGATTATTGTAATTGGGTTTTCGGCGCCGATCTTAAAGTCCACGTGAACATTGTTCACTTCATTGTTCACGGCTATTTCTATGTTTCGGTGATTCAACTTGCAGCAATTCTTGCACTAGGCAGATTTCTTCCTCAATAGACATATTTTTTATTTATTACTTTATTATTTACTATTGCATAGTGCGTTTTTATATTTACGTTGATTTGTCAGGTGGTCATCGTGGACACATCGATAACATCTCTGTGCTGTATAATTCGCCGCATTATTTGAGGGTTGCCGAAGTTTCGATCTATTGTGAATTGTATTAATTGGTTCACTAACGCCATTTTGCTGCACATGGCGGTCTCGTGGCAATCTACCTTCTGTTTCGTTTATTTCGTACGACTTTACCATATGTATTCCGCATATTAATGTTAAATTTTTATTTTTTCAGTAAATGGCTTTGACTTATCTGATTTCTTAAGCCAGGTACAAACTGATCTCGGAGCGTTGTATCCAAACATATTTTGAATCGTTCTAGGCTTATCTGTCGCAATTTTCAAAATAGTTCGGTTAAATTTGATACACTATATCTTCATCTTAGAATGAAATTGAAAGAAATTGAATCGAATCGTTTTTCTGACCACTCCTCATACAACAAATCTGTTGAGAAATTCCTTATGTATCTGCAATAAATTTGCAATTTTTAATATTTCTCAATAAAAATCGGGAAAGTATTACTGAATGAATTCCATTCTCATATAGACGTTCTTATAGAAAATAAGCTTTTATATGATAACAAAATCTAAGTTGTGGTACTTCACAGTGAAAATGCAGAGTAGCATCTTGACATATAAGTTTACTGCGTAGATTTCTACTACATTGGTCTATTTTTCGCTTTGTGTTATAATTTTTGATATATTACGGTTAATATAGCTGAAGAGTTGTATTAGGCAGAATTATGTAGCGTATTTAATGATACATGTTGAACGGCTACAACATTTTCAATTGTTTCAAATTGGATTATATTTTTATTTATTTATTTATTTATAAATAAGAACATTTTGTTTCTTCGTCAAAAAATGTTGAAAAATATATGCGAAATGCCGAAGAATTTGTATTAATGTCTTTAGGAAAATATATTTAAGGCAGTGAACAATTATTTTGTTATAAGCTGTACAATAAATTAAATTACGTTTGCATATTGTGTGGGATCTTATGCGGAGAATACGATGTGTTTGTTTATTTAATTTGCACAATTTTCGTTGACTGAGGTGTACATTGGAATTTTTGTATATCATAACAAAGAAAGCAGTTTTCGTCTTGAAACGCAACTTGATTAACTATTATACCAACTTTTTATGTCCACTATAGAGGTGCAGTGCATTTTTTGAAAGATTTTAGGGCTCCTTCACACGCAATATACGCAGTAAGCTTGAATTCGCCGTTTGTCTGTTGATATGTGCATTGCAATCATTACAACCCTTTTAAAGATATGTTCTTTCCTCCAAGATTTGTTTTTTTAACGGACATCAATATAAGGTCGAAAATTAGCTGAAAATGGTCTTTAGACAAGTTATGAATTTGAGAAATAAGGCCGGTCACTTATGCTTCAATTTTAGTTTGTCCAACCATCTTCTGCATGGTGGCGTCTGCATTTTAGAATGTCGCAGAAATTGTGTTGAAATATGATTTAAAGCAATACGTATAGGTTTTTTTATGTATATACAATCTATTTATTATTATTATTATTATTAATTTCGCCAGAGAAATAAATTCTAAGACTAAACTCTTAAAAGCACTAGCATCTAAGGCTATCGGCTTTTTATTAAAAAACTCTACCGCACTTGAGATTCGAACCCACGACCATTGACTTGCTAGTCGAGATTCCTCTCCTTCGGCTACTCAGGCGGATATATACAATCTACCTTATCTTAATCCAATGAAATAGTACAAAATAATCTTAAGTAATTGACGATTTGTTTCGTTTTGACAAGAACTATCTAGTAATGGATATATATGTATGTTTCTTGAAGATTTCTGTAGCTTCTTGCTTTCCTATTAATTGCGAATGCGTCAAGTTGTTGCTTGCGATTATTTTCGCTTGGAATCTTTGGATAAGCAAATTTTTACAACCCAATATTAGATAAATATATGCTGTAGTTTTTAGGCTCTTGATAATAATGATAGCAAGTTCCGATTTGTTTCGAGGATAATTTAGTTTTCCCCATATTGTAGGCATATATACGGAAATTAATTTTCATGTACTATATCTATGTACAAGTTTGTCCAGGTATATGTGACACCGAGGAGGATTTGGCAAACATCCACGTTTTATTTTGTCAATCGGTTCAGAACAATTTCTTGAGTCGATTTAGGCATGCCTGACTGATCATTGTTCTTGCGTTTTCTTATTTAGCCGACAGGACGCAATTTCCATTTTTCGATCTTGGTATAATGTCCCATTTAAAAAAAGTCATTACACAAGAAAACGCGGTTTTTAATATTTCTCGGCGACGATTAACGTATGAAAGTTTGATAGGACTGGATGGGACTATTTCTTGGACCTGCCATATAAACATTATACGATACAAAAGCAAGTTCAAATTTCTGATCATTTGTGATGAAAATGGACTAAAATCGTGAATTTATATACAAATTTACTGTGTTTAAGTTGAATCACATTGATATATTTGCATAAGTTGGAGGACGTCGATTCGATTACAGATTTAGGCGTTCTATTTGACCATAGGTTACGTTTTAACTTGCATATTGAGCTCTCGATTAGCAAAGCTAGGTCCGCCCTTGGTTTTATAAAAAGGTGGTCCAAAGAGCTTGATGATCCCTACATTACGAAAAGGCTGTACATGTGTTTGGTTGGACCCATACTCGAGTATGCCTCAGTTGTGTGGTCTCCTTCATATAGGTGCTACGTAGATTCAATTGAATCAGTTCAAAAGCAATTCTTGCTGTTTGCCCTTAGAAATTTGGGTTGGGATCCGATTGCCTCTCTTCCTCCGAATGAAAATAGGTTGCTTCTGCTGTCCCTACCGTCTCTGGAGAAACGTAGATTTGTTCTTGGCGTTTCCTTTCTAATTAAAGTAATAAATGGTGCTATTGACTCGCCTTCATTAGTTGGTGAAATAAGCTTTAATGTCCCTAACCGCTTCTCTAGGCATTTTATCTTGGTTAAGCTTAATCAGTGTAAATTTAATTATGAGCTGTTCAATCCGCTCAGAGTCGATTGCAAGAACCTAAATGACGTCTACCACTTATTCTCGTTATCGGACTCTTTAAAGTCCATTAAAACAACATTGCTTAATACGCGCGATTTACCTATGTCGTATTTAAACTAGCTTTTATCCTTAAAAAGTCGTTACGTTTCGAAAGTGAATTATTGTCAATTTATTATCGGTTGCCAGGCTTATGCATATTTGCGATGGCTTAGGGGTTCATTTGCAATTTGGTCCTGTACCGGTTGTAAGTGTGCTCCTATGCTGATAGTGTACATGCTTTTTTTTCTTTTTTTTTCTTATTTGTTTTATTATGCTTATACTCAATTTTATTGTTAATTAATATTAGTTTTGCATTAAGAGCCTATTGAACTCGACTGTTATTTGTTTAATTGAGTTTCTAGTATAAGTGGAATAAAATAAAATAAAATAAAAAATAAAATAAAATAAAATAAGGCTTCTTGAAAATAATAAACTTTCGTATGCCAAGCAGTTTTACTTTTTGATCTTACATGATGAAAATAGGTGAAAAGCTTTGAGATTTTCGACAAGAAAATGCATGTGGGCTGTGTGTGTAATAAAGATAACGAAATAATTCTCGGTAATTTGACGGGATGAAGGTTTAAATTAAGCAAACTTATGGAGGGTATCTAATAGGCGGCTTTGGTCGTAAATAGCTTTTTGTCTTGTTAAACCACACTTTTTACGCGATTGTTACGCAACTGTTGCAATATTGAGAACAGAGCGTTTAAAAATTTGTATTAAATGATGTTTTTTTCTGGGTAGTGTATAGCGTGTACAGGAAGCGCAAAACTGATATAAATGTCGGGAATGAATCGCATTTAAAAGTATATTAATCTGAAGAACCTTATGGCAATGTGATGCATTTTTACTAAGCATGAACTCCTATCGTACCGATATGTAATAAAAGTGCTTTTATCTATATTTCTTTTATTTTCAAGTCCCGAAGTTATGGAACGTTGCCGCAATAAAGTACGTATACGTTTAGCCAATATAATGATGCTTCTGACAGTAATCGGTTGCGGCGTTATGGTGTATAGTGGAAAAGAGGCAGCGAAACGTGGTGAAACGGTCACTAAACAAAACCTCGATTGGCATAAAAAGTACAACGAACAAACACAAAAACAAGATCCATAATAAAATGGATATCGAATTATTTAATAGATATTTTATGCATAATTACTTTTATGTTTTTCTTATCATATGTTCAGATGTATTTTTTCATTGTTCTTAAAATTTTATGCATATGGATATTAAAGTACCTAAGATGTTAATTGCTGTAATTTTTGAATTTACATATATAAATACATAAATTTAATTTTATTATGATTTTTAATGCTTGCATTAACAAATACATATACATACACATATACGATATCGATATACGATTTAGTGTGCTTGCCACAGATTGATTATTTATGCACAGTCAATGGATACCTCTCGATTGCCTATAAAGAAAAAAATTGGCAAATTAGTCATGGGTTTTACTCACTTTACTTCAAAGTCCTATGCATTCTCGGATCAAAATCCTATTGTTTAAAAGAAAATAAGAAAAAGAATGAATTTGATTGCGTTAATTTTTTAAAAAGAGTTGGTTTTAGTTTTATAAGCATTCTACAAGCAATCTTCCGCGTAGTTTCGCAACGGGTTCCCACTTTAAAATGTTTAAGTAGCTTATTAAAATTTAAACAACAAATTTTGCAAGAATTGTTATTTATTTATTTTTTTTTTTGTATTCTGCACCAAGTGTGTTATAAGAGTATATTAAGTTTTGCGAGGACGTATGCAAGATCCACAAGGACTTGAGATAGACCCAACTTTTATTATACTGAGCGATTCAGAATCACCAATATATAAATCGATTTAAGCTTCTCTATCCGTCCGTTTGTCTGTCTTATATTCTCGCGTTCTAGTCACTGATGTGTTTTGACCCAAAGACAAACGTTGTCGAAGATGGTTTGGATCGGACAAAATTTCAACTTAAAGCACAAATCTTACACTAAAAGGACCCTACAAAAATAACTGTAGGATAACTGGAGTAGGGTATGTAATAGCGAACCCCTATAGCGCGCTTTGAGTGGCTTCTTTTAAACAAATCTTTTAGAAGCAAAGGAAACAGTTTTTATAAAGAATACTTTAGTGCATCCTAACGGAATATAGCTAAGTGTATTTCGTTACAACTCCAATATAAAAGATATGGCTATGCTATTCAAACGCCAATGTCGCAGATCTTGCTATAGGGCAAATAATAACATGCTTAGATGGCACATACAAGGTTTTTGCAAAAGGAGCAAAATTAAGGATTGGACAACTTATTGCCAAAGCTCTATCAATGAGTTCACTTAAATTTTCAGCTTATTTTGATAAGGAGCTTAGGACCGATTTTAATCTTCCATATAAGATTTTGTCATCGCAATGGTGATGTGTATATATGATATATAATTTATGGATGAAAAACTTAACGTTTCGCATGTTTTGCGACTTTTTGTCGATGAAGTATCTTGATAAATCTTTGTAGGAGCTGTACACTTTGAATTATTGGAGAGGAGGAAAAAAACTTGTTGAAATATTTAATTCTTCGCTTTAATTTGTTCGCATTATCGTGGGGGTATTTTTAGGGCCATTTTCAAACATTAGCTTTCTAGTTTTTTGAATTTTCATGATTTTTTCATGAGTGTACGAATAAGTGAAACCGCTGGCAAAGCGATAACTTAGCTAGATATATGTAATGGCATTGCAAATGATGAAATTTTAATTATGATTGACGCGTGGGTGAAGACAGAAAACCTCCCTGTTCCATGTATCTCGCGAGATTGGTCCTAAAGAGAAGAGATTTTTTGTCCTCTGTCATCTCGTTGACGTATTTTTGTTTGGAAATGCTTTCATTTTATGGAAGAAGTTTTTTTTTGAGATAATGTTTTTTCCCCCTGATAGGGTTTAACGCATCTATTAAGCAAAAAGGGGAAATTTTTTATGAGAAACGTACAATATATGAGGTGGGCGGGTGTTTTTCTATAATAAGGGAAATATTGGATATCGTTTTTTCAACGAATATATTAAGATTTTCATTGCTAGCGAATTTTATCTATCAAAATTTCATCAAAATTTTTTTATTAAGAAAGTGTCACCTGGCTGATCAAGACAATTCATTTTCCGATTATTGCGAATAGCTTACGCCCATTTCCAAATTTGATTCGATGGGTATGGTTGAATCGATTCAGAGTCGTACGCCTATCAAGAATGTATATACTTTAGGCGGTTTCCTTAATGATTGTTGCGGAGTATCAAAAATGAACAGGGATAACTTTTTATATATAATAATATATGAAAGCTGCCTATGATCTTATATAAATATCCGATACTCATTGCATTATATATATATGTCTTTGTAGCAATTACTAGTCGTTTGCAATTTGTCGGAGGGAGCTCTAACATCAAGTAACAATTGCCATACATAGCGCATGTCGATTAATATCTAGTGCAAAAACTTTCGCAGTTTAGAAACCGATGTGTCGGCGTTAATGCAAAAAATAATTTGGCAAATTTTATGTAATCACTTTAGTTCGGGAAGTAATGAAGATTCGCGACCCAAACTTGAATATAACTTTCCTACTTTTCTACTTATCTCTCATTATCTGATTCTATTATATCCCAATATTGGTTATTGCAATGCAATATATTCTTAACATTCCTAGGTTCTCATAAAGAGGATTGACTGTATAAATAACTTTACACGTGTTCTATGCTCGCATGCAATGTATGTTGATTAAGTGCTAATATTAACTTCGGTAAGCTAGCTTTATGACGTTATTAATCACTCATACAGCTAGATAACCAAAGAGAACATAACACTTTTCTATAATCGCAAGATTCATATCAAATTAATCATATGTCCGTTAACACCGTTTCACTCACTTACCCCGGTACGTAAGAGTTTTATATATGTGATTTTCACCGTCATCCCTCTGTTAGCGGCTATGGATTTAAAATTCAACCTGAAAATAAAACAAAAAAAAAAAAGAAAGAAAAGAAAAGAAAAGAAAAAAAAAAAATATGGTAAATTGATTAAATATTCGCACGGCATTAATGCATATAAACCAATTTAACTCAAAAATGGAAAAAACCATGTTGTTGACGTTTAAAAAATACTAACTATTTAACGTGAAATGAATGTCAATCTGCCGCCAACGCTTTTTGATTTTATTTAAATGAAGCAATTACACATATACATGCATAAAAATTAAATATATAGTTGACTGTATACGTATAAATGGTATCGTCTCGAATTGTTTAGCTTTTATTAAATTGGTCATTGAATTGAAAAAGGTCAAAGATCGTCTATCTGGTTTAGATAGTGTGGATTAATTGAATTTAGCAATGATTGCGTTACGTTGCGTTGCGTTGCGTTGCGTTTGCGACGCTGCGCGAAAAAGCAAATTTAACTATGCCTTTCCTTTTATATTTCATTAAACAAACTATTGTTTGTGATAGTTTTCATCATATAGTTTTATCTTTTGTTTTGTCTAATTTTTCACCTCTTAGCCTATGTGATGGAATGGAGTTTTGAGACTGGGTAAGTTTAGTTTAGTTTACTTTACTTTACTTTAGTTTAGTTTAGTTTAGTTTAGTTTTGATTTGTTGATATTGTTTTTGTGTTTTTTTCAATTTTTCCTATTCTTTTCTTAAAAAGGCCGCATTTCGTCTCGGCTATTAGTGCAGAAGCGTCTAATGTGTAACATGTACATTTTCGTCTTTTTAATGTTTCGGTTGGTCAAGTGTGTGTAACTGGAACGATTAAGGCGCGGTTGAGTGGTATAAGTGAATGGTCACCATCGCAAAGCAGTTCAGCCCAAGGGTGACTTGTTATAGTCTGCTGGCATTTAAAGATATCTTTACATTTTTTTTATTTTTTATTTTTTATATTATACTACACATATGTATATAAGTAACCGTATGTAAGATAACCAAAAAATTTCCCACAATTACGTGAAGCACATACCAAAACAAAAAGATGTCTTCACTTATTACACTTGCACATGCTGTTGTTGGATAATGACGACTCGTTATAAATGTCTGGTTTATTTTATTTGATGAACTGCCAAATAAACCGCCTGTAAACGGGACCCCCTAACTAACTGCTACACTTAATAAATTTCAATTTTTTGTTCGCATTTATCCGCCTAATACGCTTGAAACGACGTAATCATGCAAAGATTTAAATATTTCTAATTCTCTTAATTCCATTATCATACACTACGTTGCTATAAAATCCAACGGATTGACATTTATCAATTAATAATAGTATATTTGTATTTAATAATAAAAATTAATAATTAATTGCATATAACTAGTGACTCTTGAATGTGACATATAAAAACTGCAGAGTATTGAAAGTGTACAAAATCGGATAAATACTGTCTTCTCGAGCTTGTTTATGTTTATGTATGTGTTTTCGTTTCTTTTTTAAGAGATGTTCATATTCACCTTCATATAACTCTAATGTGAAATTAGTCAGTATTGAAAGCAACTTTGACCGACCTTTTCAGGAAAACATAAATGCCTTAAACAAAGTCTTTCATATTTTTGTATATCTTGTGACGAATTGCTTTAACAAAAAAAATGCATCTTCTGCGTAAGCATACAGCTTATGCAAATAAATATTCAATAAAGAATAAATTTTTGTATAATGTTTACTTGTCGGCCAATAAGTCTAAGTCCATATATTTTTCGTAATGAAAAGAAAGAAAACGTATTTCATTAAAACACTATTGAGACATATGTTAACAATCAATCGACATACGTGAGTACTTAGCGGAAATCGCAATTGGCAAACCTCGTTTGGGATCGATTCAAAGTTGAATTTGTTCGAGATTGGCCAGAGAGTAAAGGAGAACGTTGCAATTTCCGATTACAATGCCCTCTAGCCATCTTTTCGTGTGTTCGTTTTGAGCTCCGATAGAGTATACCTACTAGTTCCGTCATTCCATTTGACTAAATTTTCAAATTCAAAATAAATATCAAAACTCCGACGCACATCATCAATAAAAATTGGTCTCATTCGCTTATAAGCACACTCGTAATAGTTGACAAACTTTTCCAATATGAAAATAGAAACGCAACTTAAAGCTTTCACCAGAGATCTATTCGAATTTTTTTTATATGGCCGTGTTTTCCGATCTTACTTAGGGATTCGGGCGAAAAGGAGCCCCACCTCGCAGTCCATTCATCCATTTCTTTTTTTTAGCCTATCGTGAGAATATTAAGAAGAAAATATTCAAAATCGACCGATGGAATAAATGTCAAGAAAATAAATGCAAAATTTTTATCTCAATTTTTGCTATTATCTGAGCTCAGCTCACAGATAGATCGGCACAAGAGCATAATCAGTTTGATTTAGATATTAGACAGTTTCAGTTTGAATTCACGACTTTTCATTCATTTTTGCGGATTACATTGTACATTGTGTACAGTGACGATACAAGATATGGTTTTCCTTACAATTTTTTTTTTTTTATATATATATATATATATAAAAATATCCTTGGAAATTATGTTAGCGACTCTTCTTTCAGAAATGTTGCATCAAGTGACAAGCATTTCAGGCTACTACAAAATTAGAAGACGTAATTTCTTTTCAAAAAGAAACGAGAAGAAAGAGAGACTTGTTTCAGTCACTTATTCTGGCTAGAGTAAGGAACCTACTCTGCTGAAGACTACTAAACTGTAATGTTATATATATTTTACAACTTTGTTTATAAAATTTTTAGTATACTTCCGGTACGTGTGTATCTCTGTTAATTTGTTGTTGCTGTGAGAAAGACACGCATAGCTAACGAATACATTCATCATTGTTGGGAAAAGCACCATATGAACAGTTTAAAAGATTTTACCTACTTATGCACACAATCTCCTGTAATTCTCATTTTTATAAAGTGAACAAGCGCAGAAAGTTCAATTTACATAAATGTTATATGTTCAATTAAGATAAATTGAAATACTGAGAGCAATAATAAAGTATTTAATGGAATTTTACATAGTTTCCTGGCCTATTTCAACGTGGAATTATATAATGAAAAGCTATCTCTTTTTGAAAGAAAAATTTCAAAAAGAAAAACAAGCATGAAAGTTATATTCGGCGGTAGCCGAATCCCGCATACCCACCACTATGCTTTTCGCATTATACTCAACTTCTTTTGTTTGATACCCTTATCGCAGGTCTTATTAAGAAAATGTTAATCGCTGCCGTCTACCATATTCATTTTAAAATTAAACCATTTTTAGGCACATAATAAATCTTCATTCGAGGAGTGTACAAAGATTCTGCCTTAATTACCATATGATAAATAAGCATAAGACCTCAAAGAAGTAATAAAAAAAAATTTAAAAAAAATTTAATTACCCGTAACTTTGTGTGGGCATACACGACTGTTTCCATTTTTGTATGTAAAAAGTAGAGTGCTTTGTAAAGAAAATAGTGGAAAATTTCGGCATTTTAACTTTAATAATTTCCGAATAACGAACAAACATTCAAAAAAAAAAGAAAGAATAATAAGGAATTGCGTTAAGCTTACGGTCCACTACGCGCTTCTGCCCTGACCAATTTATTGACCAATCTATTTTCATTACCAACCTGGGTATAAAAACTTCCAATGTTGCTACCAAGCTTGAAGTCGGTATCTTCATTTTTTGCGACCAGGAGAATGCCAATCACATACACCACACAGACGGACAGACATGGCTAAATCAACTCAGAATTTCACGCTGATCAAGAACAACATATACGTTATAGGGTATCTGAAGAAGATTCTATTTGGTTACGGAAAAAAGCATGAAAATGAGTTTCCCCATATCTTACAGTGGTGTGTATTAAAAGCCAGCATGGGAAGTGTATTAAACGTAGTCATGAATGTAATCACAGAGTCTGCTCCTAATCGTATCAAGCCTTCTTAAGATGACCTTGACAAGCATTTGTGCTTAATATTGTATAGATATTTGTGCGCGGGCTTTAATTTTTTTTTTCGGAGAAACATTTTTATTTAGAAATGAGTTTATTAACGGGATACGCGTTTCTATTTTTTTGTAGAGGTAAGAGCCCATCAAAATTTCAATGTTTATTTGTAGGATGCTGATGAATGAGAACTGATTGACTTGATTAAATCGCTGACGTATTCTTCTGACTATATCACACGTACAGGATGACGGACCTCACTTAGCTCGCGATTTCCATTTGTTTTTGCCTGCATTGAGTTCATAGATGTTTCAAAACTAAAAACAATTTAAAACGGTTAAAAGAGGGATAATTGGTTTCAAAGCGACAGCGTAAACGTATAAGTATTAGATAAAATATCCAAATAGTGTTTAATTGAAATGAAATGGAACGAAACTAGGCTAAGGATTGCGAAGGAGCGCGACCGAAAATGCAAAATAAGACACAAATAGAATGCGGTACGTACGGTTTATTAGTTTAGACAGATTATTTGCCGGATGTAACTTAAGTCGCATTAAATTTAAACTCACACAATAATGGCATATATTAATAAAAAAAAAAATAAAAAAAAATCAACACATGAAGCGGTGCTACCTATTATATATAAGTACAATATTTATACTTATGTATATGTATATACATTTATACCCACATATATACATTGAATATTTTAACTTACCTGTCTCGGGCCGATTAGACAGTCTAACGCACAAACACTGAGTATCCATGATGTGATGAGAGAAGTCTAAACGAATCACTTTTGCACACAAGTGAATATAAGAAATGTTTATTTGTTTATTTATTATTATTATTTAATTTCTTTTATATAAACGTGTATTTGTGTGCACTTAGCGTAATGAACTTGATTATTATTATAGTATAATATATAGTGTATATAGTATATATGGTATATATATATATGGTATATATATATATATATATATATATATCTATATATATATCTCAGATTTTTAGAATAGATCAAATTCAAATTTGGCTCGTCGCTTGATTTCAAAAATTAACAATATTTGATAAATGAGTAAATTCGATTACGTCTTATTGTTAATTTAAGAAATCAAGCAAATTGGAAATAAACGAAAAATATAAAAAAAAAGAATAAAGCAAATCTATTATTTTAACGTTTATTTCAATAGTAACGTGTGCACTAGTGGCATTTGAAACTTGGTTATATTCCCCTGAGAATAAACTGGTCTATATCCACTAGTTTACTTTATAGTCACAGAAAACATGGAGCCATTTATTTGTAAGCACGCACTGTACTTAGTTTTTGTTAAGTTAAATAAATCTCTTGACTGAAACTCACAAACTGAGCGGCCAGCTAATGGCCAGCCAGTTCCTTAAACGAAGCCCAGCATTTTTGAACTAATTTCAGTTTTGGCCGCAACGTCTTGGTCACCGTTCGTCTTGATATCTTTGGCTTTGCTTAAATGTGTGACAGAGATTATATTTTTTTCTTTTTTCATTGATATATTGGTAGCTGGTATATACATATATATATATATATATATATATATATATATATACATATATATATATATACATATATATATATACCTACATATATATATATATATATATATATATATATATATACTACATAATATAAATTTATATTTACATTTGTGTAAAGATATTTGCGAGAGGCTGTTGTAGAAACGAAGAGTTCTATTCACTAACTTGTCCGTTTTTGTACTGATCGTAGTTGTGAACGTGTTCACTTAACTGCGGTCGTTGGTGTGTAGGTCTTTTCATTTTACCTGATTTTCGGGTTTTTTACCTCTTCTTCTTACACAATTTATCGAACTACTTGTTAAGAGAGCAGCAGCGCAACACACAACACTATCAAGTCAAAACAGCCAAGCAGTTCACTGACTTGCCTGACATGAGAGCTAGTATATTCAAACTTGCATACCGATGCCAATGTATTAACCAACGATGTTATATGTGTATAAGAGCGAAGGAGGGAGCGAGGAAGAAACATATACATATACAGGTAGAGAGAGAGCGAGATTTAGCCAGAAGTTAAAAGAGAGTAACAAGTGATCTTGAGTCGATCAATCAATTTACCTTTGCCAGCCTTTTAGCCGTTAAAAAAAACCCTGGTAATATACCACTTGATATGGTATATCAAAATGTTAATGTGTGCATATATTTAAGTATATACATGTAAGTATATACTCATCAATATTCATATGTCTTCATATTCTTAAGCGTATATATGCGTAGATGCAGTACAATATGTTTTGTACATTGTTCTTTTCACAACTTTTCCATTATTGATCTATTTGTCTGCGTTTCTGTATTTAATAATTCACACTATGCGTGAATCCGTGTTCAGCTTTGTGTCTGTGTGTGCTTCTTTCTTTTCGTTTTAAAACTATTGATTTTTTCTTAGATTCCAGTTTATGGGGGAGTAAAATAGAAGTGTGTTGAATACAATGCATATATATATATATATATATATTGAATACAATATATGTATGCATATTTATATATATATATATATATATATGTATGTATATGTATGCACAAAATCGTTAGGAGTACGGAGCAAGAGTTTTTGATTTGAAGAGATTTTTAGGAACTTTTGTAATAAGTTTTTTTTTTAAATTAAAAATTTTTAATTAGAAAGACTTAAGACAAAAACTGGCAACTTTGTAGAAATGAGAGGAAAGTTTAAATTTATTATATATCCAACATTTTTCTTTTTTTTTTTTTATTTCGAATTATGCACCCTGTATGCATTGAACTTCTTAAACTAGTTTAACTTATAAACATGTTTGACATAAGGCAGCAGTGCGATTACCAACGAAGAATACAATAAAATCAACGTTAATAACGTTGAGTTACTAACTTCGACTTCGAAGCGGTCTGAATTTTTTCTTTTTTTTTTTGATTTGAAAATCGAAATGTTAAGGCATTTTTTTTCGAGATTTTATTAAAAGAAAGAGGCAGCTTAATAAATGAATTTTGCACGTTCTTATCTGTTTTTTCTTTATTTTCTTTTGAAAATGTCTGGTTCATATTCCAGTCAGGCAGTGATATTTCATTGTATATATAAACATTCACTATATATTCACATATATATATACATATATATATATCGTATGTTTTTGTACAGATATATAGGATAATTGAGTATTTTCGGGACATGTGTTTTTATATATATATGCACAGTCTGAGTTGTATAGCGACGGTAAATTGATGACGTGGTAGTATTTTATTTATAAGAACAAGCGTAAACTTTAGGATTGCGTACA